ATGACTGGCAGCTGACACTGAGCATTTATTGAGCCGCGACACTCCCCAGGCTTCTTGTGTTCTCACACTGGTAGGTAATCTTCCCATCTTATAGATGAAGAAACAGGCCCACAGCCAGGCCTTACACGAAGTGGAGCCAGGATTTAAACTCAAGTCCACGGCCCCTTGGATAGCCACTATCTTGTTCACAGACCGGCTAAGAGCTGGCTGAGGAGTTCCTTACTTGGGACAGGTTCTGTTGGCCACTCAGCCCCTTAGCAGCTCCTTAGGACAGGGGCTCAGGGTGCAGTCCCCCACAGGGACACCTGTGAGGCCAGGGTCTTGGATGGTTTCTCAGGTTTGAGCCTCTGCCCTGTGGGCCATCAGATCCCCTCCGTCATCCCCCAAGAGGCTTCTAGGATTGGAGGCTGCACCTGCCGCTGCCATATAGGACCTGCCACTTCTCCTGGGGATGCTGTCCCCACTCTGACGCATGTGAGAGTATGTGGGGGCTGCTCAGGAGGGTGATTGGACCCTAACTCCTCGAGAGACCCATTCTGAGGTCAACAGTGTCTTCATCTGGCTTTCAAAGTCCCCAGGAGTCCTTCCTGATGGAAGGTCCCAGCCCCACCCCACAGGTGGAGTCTTCCTGCTGGGGGAAGGAGCGTGGGGGCCAGCGCTTAGGCTGGGCTGCCTCAGTGTTGGCCACAGGAAGGGCCCAGTATAGAATGTGCTGGTGAGAGCCAAACAGCATGGCCAAACCTGCTTTTTAAACAGATGTCTCGGGGCCAGCGCTGTGGCGTATGGGTTAAACCACTGCTCCACTTCCGATCCAGCTCCCTGCTTATGGCCTGGGAAAGCAGTAGAAGATGGCACAAGTGCTTGGGCCTCTGCACCCACGTGGGAGGCTCCTGGCTCCTGGCTTTGGCCTGGCCTGGCCCCAGCCATTGTGGCCATTTGGGGAGTGTACCAGCAATGGAAGACCTCTCTCTCTGTCTCTGTCTCTGTCTCTGCTCTTCTTGTAACTCTGCCTTTCAAATAAACAAAATAAATCTTAAAAAAAAAAAAAGATGTCTGCCGTCAGATTCACAGCTACATTTTGGAGCTTGGGGCTCTGGTGCAGAGCTGGGTGAGGCCCTGGCTGCCTCGGAGCCGGAGCCGCGTCAGTGAGGCGCGCTGGGGAACAGGCACGCCCTCCCTCCACGCCAGTCTGCTCCAGGACAGGGAGGGCGTTCCCAGGCATCTCAGCCTCATTTGTCCCCCTGCTGACTCACCTGCTGGCCCAGGGAGCCCTTCCGTCCACCTGGCACTCGGGCACCTGCCCTGCGCCAAGCCGAGGCGGCCCCTTGCCGAGGACCTGGGTGGACTTCTGTCCGCGGGGGGCCCAATCAGATGTGTGCTGGCCACAGTGCCCAGGCAGTAGGCCAGGAAGGGCCGGAAATGCTGCAAATACTCTCCTTCCTGCCCTAGCGAGGCGGGGGAGGCCCTCAGAGAGGCCATTTTGCAGGGGTGGCCAGACTGAGTCCATGCTGCCGCGGGGAAGGAAGTCCTGGGGGGGGGGGGGGGCTGAAGCAGGAGAGCCTTCAAATCCCACAGCCCGAGGTGGCCTTGGGCCCGGGCCAGTGTCAGTGTGTGAGGCACTCCTTTGGTGGCACACGAAGCAGTGGTGATACCCGCACCTGACCTTGAGAAGATTAAAAATAGTGTTGTCCTGGCAGAGCAGGGTTTCCTCTGCATGCCGTGCACACGCGTGTGCGTGCTTGCACACATGTGTGTGTGCGTGCACATGCTTTTTAAGAGACAGAAGTGTTATCTGGTGCTTCTTGGGCACAGTGGGATGGCCGTAAGGGAGGGGGGCACGGGCCTCACCTGCTTTCGTGTTGGGCACAGAGTGCCAGCCAGGACTCTGCAGTGAATTTGGGAGAACAGGAAGGGGTGGTTTGACTCTGAAGCCTGCTCGCCATGACAGCTCCTCCTCCCGGATGTTGACCACATCGGGAGGAGTGGGGGCGGTGGGCTGTATTCCTGATCTGGAGTGAGACCCTGGATGTTGCCAGGTAGCGGCATCTCCCCTTAGAGCATTGGAACAGGAGGCACACTGAGCCATGGGGTCTGCGTGCTGCCTTTCTCTCTAAGGCTTGTCTGTCTTTTCAGCCTGGGCGAGGCCTTACTGCTAGCCTGGTTTATGGAGGAGGAAACCGACGATCCCAAGTCAGTAACTGGCAGAGCCCGACACAGCCCCGGCGACCCTCGGGGCGGACAGCACCCGCAGGCCCCTGCACAGCGCCACGCAGCGCAGGGGCAGCCGGCGCCTGCTTGCTTCTCCCGCTGGGCTGGGCCCCTGGATATCTCACCCCAGTCCAGATGTTTGGAGCAGGACGAGCAGATGCACGTCAGCAGCTGGCCAAGAGAGGAGCCTGGGTATCCACCCAGAGGGCAGCAGGGGGCGAAGCTGGTCGTGGAGCTCCGGGGCCCCCACTGGGGCCCCCCCGCCTTGTTGGGGAAACTGCTCGTCCCCATGTGCCTGCAATTCCACTCTGGGAAAGGCAGGCCAGCCCCCTACCCCTACCCAGTCCCTCCCTCCCCCCCCCCCCACACACACACAAGGGGAGCAGTGGCCTGCACCTGGCTGTCAGGGACATGATGCTGAGTGCAGTGGCCTGTGATGCCGGCATCCCATATGGGCGCTGGTTCAAATCCCAGCTGCTGCACTGCCAATCCAGCTGTGAATAAGCACGTGGAAGATCTTTCTTTGTGTGTGTGTGTGTGTGTGTGTGTGTTTGTCTTTCTGTATCTCCTTTTCTCTATAACTTTCAAATCTTTAAAAAATAAATAAAACCCTTGGCTCTGGGTTTGAATCCTGGCTCTGTGGTCGTACTGCCTACATGACCCTGGGTAGGTTCCTCGAGCACTGTGTGCCTCGGTTTCCCTTCTGTAAGGTGGGCAGTTAGGTACAGCGATGACGTGAAGCATGTAGCGTAGGCCTGGCAGGTCCCTGGCGCCCAGGTCACGTGGTGGAGGCCCAGAGAAAGCCTCTGGCTCGGCTCCTGCAGTGCCCACCTGCCTCACGCTAAGGGGGCTGTTATGTTTGCAGACCAGCAGAAGCTCCCCCAGGCTGGGCCCCACGGCCTCTGGAGGCGTTCACTCAGCCAGTATCTGCAGGGAAGAGGCCCCAGGCTGAGGAATGTGCAGGCCCAGTGGGGAGGCTGGGGGAGGGCAGGGGGCGGGGTCCTCCCTTCCAGTGCCTGCCCTCAAGGTCACCGCATTTGTGACCCCTGAGGCCCAGCTGCCCGTGTGGGGCTCCCCCGGAGGCACAGGCCAGCTGCCCCTTGCGCCCCTGCCTAGCCTGTCACTCAGGCTGAGCGTGTCCCTGATGGCTTGTGTGCAGGGAAGGCCCAGGCTGCGTGGCCTTTTAAGATAGGCTGCGCGCCCGGGTTAAGCCTGTGACTGGCTCTGCATGAAGAGAGCATAAACCAAAGGGGACGCGGTGGTTCACCGTGGGCGCTGAGCCTCCTAGCCCGGAAGTTTGGGCGGGCCAGCCGTTTGCAGGCTCACGCTGGACAGGCCGGATGTGGCCTCACCCAGGGAGGAGCGGCAGAGGGCGCTCTGGGGAGCGCCAGCCAGCACCCGCAGGGAGTCCTCCACCTTCTGCACGGGGCGGCCCCGGCTGCTGGCCTCGCTGTGGAGGGGCCCTTTCCACGTCCTTGTTCCTGGGGAGTGGTCTGGTTCTCTCTCCCCCTCCCTACAGGGACCACCTCTGGCAGGCTCCGGGTAGCTCCCACCCCTGCCCTTCCCCCCTCGGGAAATAGTCCTGGGTGGCACGTCGCGTGCTTCCCCTTGCCCGGTGAGGACAGAGGCTCGTCTGGCATAGTCCTTTGCCCGAGCTCTAAACTGGAATGGCTTGCGTTTCATCCTTGTACCCATCTGGGCCCTGGCTCTGGGTCACTCCACACCCTGTGGGCAGGGAAGCTGGTGGCTGAGGCCCCTTCCATGAGTGGCTGCACAGCGCCACCTCCTGGCCACGGTCTTCCCACCCTGCAAACAAGTTGCCAGAAAGTTCTGTACAGCCAAAGGGACTTGCTGAGCTCCTGTGGTCACCCCAGTAATGCCCGGAGCCTTCACTCTGTGCCTGGCCTTTCTGGGGGCCGGCTTGCCAGACCTCCTGTGAAATGGGCCCGATAGTCAGGGCATCCATGAAGAGACCGGGTATGCGCCACCCAAGAGGGAGGGGGGTAGAAAGCGGCCGAGCGTGGGGGAGGTGAGGGTGTAAACAGAGTATCGCTTTTTCCTTGGGGTGGGGCCGTTCTGGAGTTTGTAGGCAAGTTGGGCTCAGCTTTGTTGCCAATGACCCAGCAGCTGGGGAAGCCGACCCTGCGGACTGCAGCTGCACTGACTCAGAAGGGCCTTACTTGCTGCCTTCCTGCGGGGTGGGGCTGGTCAGGGGGCACTTGCGGAGGGTGTCTGCCTTGGCCTGCGGCTGAGGCCCTGGCAGGTGGGTCCATTCTTAGCCATCCCTACACCCAGGGAAGGAATAATGGATCCTGTGTTCCCACTTCCCAAACCAGAGAGCCGGGCTGTGGCCATTTAGGCTTTCAGGAAAAAAATGGGCGGAGGGAGGGCTGGGGACAGGTTGATTGACGGGCGCTGAGCTATCACTAGGTAGGAGTAAGTGGCGTTCTAATCATGTGGGGGTGACTGCCGATAGCGCGTCGTATATATGTTGACAACTTAAAAACTCGAAGATAGGATGTGGGATGTTCCCATCAGGAAGAACGGCTAACGGGAGACAGGGCGATGAGCCTGGATTGGACGTTACTCTGTCTACTCATGCATCACGGCTTCCCGCGTGCTTCGCAGAAATGGTAGCGGTAGCGTTTAGGTGTCTGTTAGAAGAGGAAGTGTGGGGTGAACTTGTGTGTTTCCCTGTCGCCTGTGTCGGGTCGTTGGCTGCTCCGGGACGGGTGGCTGTGCACAGACACCGTCTCCCTGTGACTAACGTGCTGCCATTCCCTCCGCTGCAGGCCTGGTCTCCAAGTCCTCTCCTAAGAAGCCTCGTGGACGCAACATCTTTAAGGCCCTCTTCTGCTGTTTTCGCGCCCAGCATGTTGGCCAGTCCAGCTCCTCCACTGAGCTCACCGCATACAAGGAGGAAGCCAACACCATTGCTAAGGTAGCTGGCGCTGGGCTAACCAGGAGGGCTGCTGGGGGAGATGCCCATGGACCACGCAGGCCGCCTGGCGGCTTTGCCTAGGGTTGCGACGGTCACCGGCTCAGAGGCAGCCCCTTCTCTGGGCTCCCCTCAGTGGCCCGTGTCCTTTCTGTTGCTCCCCATTCCTGGCGTGGGCCAAATGTCCCTGTGATTTCTGAGGTTCCAGAAACTACGCACAGTGCTTTGCCCGTGTTGTCGCGTATGATCCGTACAGAGGCTCTGCAAGGAGAGCTTCAGGAGTCTCACTTTGCAGACAGAAACTGAGGCCCAGAGAGTTTTCGCTGCCCCGAGTTCACAGTTCACAAATGCTAATGTCAGGATTTGAACTCAGAACTCTGGGGCACTGAAGCCTAGGTTTATTGCTGCTGCATTGCACTCTGCAAAGCTTCCTGCAGAGTCCCCTGACTGGCCAGGAAGCGAGGCCTGGAGACCAGCAAGCTCTTAACCCCTGCCAGCTGTTGTCGCCTGTGCCCGTGCCAGGCATTTGGAAATATGTGGATGTTTTTGGTCATCACAGTGGCCGGAAGCTAGGGCTAGCATTTCAGGGGTGATGCCAGCCCCCCGCCAACAAAAATGGTAAAAATGGTGCCGCCCCCAATGCCATCGGTGCTCGCTGAACACAGAGGCCTGGCTGTCCCCCCCCCCCCCCAGGCTCAGCCTAAAGATGTGCACACCAGTGGAGTCACTTCCAGCAGGGGGCATGGCTAAATAAAGTACAAGGTGGTGGCATCGCTAGGTGATTCATTCTTGCAAGGAGTTCCCTGCAATGCGGAGAAGCACTGAGTTGCAATGTGCAGAGAGCAGAAGGCACAATTCCAGGGTGTTCTGTGGGAAAAAAGACTGCTAGCACAGACGTGCAGGAAACACACGAGAGTGCCAGCATTAGGCGTTCTAGGTGCTAAGGTTCCACTTTTCCTTAGGGATTCTTTTTAAGAACACTTACTACGGCTTTTCAAACCATAGCAGTTAGGTTGGTTGGTGGTTTGTTTTTTTTTTTTTACTAAAAGGCATGGTGGAGAGAGGGTCTTTCTGGCTTCTCTGCACTGCTCTCGACTTTGGGTGCCCATGGGTATGGCTTCGCATTGGTTTCCTTGATATTTTCTCGGGGTTCAGTCCTCCCCAGGGAGGGCAGAGAACGCACGTTCCCAGAGAGCGGCCCAGAGCCCAGGTCTATAAACAGGCGAGAAACCACCCTGTGAGCCACGCCCGTTTGGGTTCCCTGCCCCTCACGTTGTCCCACTGAGGGCTGGTGACGGCGGAGACTGGGGCACCCTCGTCTCTGCCCCATATCGTGTGAAGAGGAGGCCCCCCAGCCCCTTCCCCTCCCCTGCTCAGGCCCTGGGAAGAGCCACTTGGGTTGTGTCAGGAGCTCCCAGGCGACTGGGTCCCAGGGGAGAGTCATCCCCGCCTGGGCAGCGCAGGGGTTGGGGCGGGCGGGAGGCACTGGCGAGCCGGCACTGACCACCTCCTTCTCTCCCCTCCTCAGTCGGATCTCCTCCAGTGTCTCCAGTACCAGTTTTACCAGGTGCGTGACTCTGGCCAGGGACGGGCTCAGAAGCCCAGACCCTGTGGCCCGTGGCTGGCCCCACCAGGCCTTCCTTCCCTCCCCGGTGCCTGGCTGGACACCTCCTGTCCTGGGGAGCTGTTCGTTTCTAATGTTCTCCTTGGGCCCCCTGTGTTGCAGCTGTTAGGTTTTGGGGGACAACTGGGCCTATACCCCTCTTCCCACAGCTACCGTGCATCGCACACCAGCCCTGGTCACCACTGCTAGCGCCCAGATCACTTCACAGTCCCGTTGGGAGACAAATACAAAGGAGCCAACTCTGCCTCCTCTGGTCTTTGCCTTTAAGTGGGGCCTGGCCCAAGTTGGTGATTCTGCCTCCACAGATAGCCCAGCTCTTCCGCTTCTGCCAAGGGTGCATCTGGGCCTTGTGGAGGCCAGATCTCAACAGCCTGGCTCTGCTTTCAGATCCCAGGGACCTGCCTGCTCCCAGAGGTGACAGAAGAAGATCAAGGAAGGATCTGTGTGGTCATTGACCTAGATGAAACCCTTGTGCATAGCTCCTTTAAGGTAAGCAGACATCTGAAGCCCTACCTCCACCCATCTGATAGCGGGTGCCCTGAGGAAGCCTAAGGGTGGGCGTGGACTGGGTGGCCACCAGGGGGCGGGCTAGGACTGACTTCCACTATCCTGGTATCGGATATCCAGAGCCCTTGCTGAGGAATATTGAGTAGGGCACCCCTGCCAACAGGCTGCGGCTGCCTACTGGCTGCACAGCACAGAGAGGTCCCCAGACCCTTAGTTGCGGGGAGGGGGGGGGTGCACAAGGAGCTTCCTGGAGCCTCGTAAGCCTGACCCTCCCCCGGGGTTGTGAGGCCACTCCCGTCTCATTTCACCTGCTGACATGACCAACCCTCCTGCCTCGCAGCCCATCAACAACGCTGACTTCATAGTGCCTGTGGAGATCGAGGGGACCACTCACCAGGTGAGCCACCCCCGGGGCCAGAGGGCGGGGACTGCCCTCTGCCCCTCCCGCCTTGCCTTCCCTCCGTCAGTCCCTTTCTGACCTCAAGCCTTTCTTAAAAACTGTCAGCCCCACATCCTCCTCCTCTCCTCTCCCCTCTCTCCCCTCTCTCCCCTTTCTCCCCTCTCTCCCCTCTTTCCCCTCTCCTCTCTTCTCTCTTCTCTTCTCTTCTCTCTCTCTCTCTCTCTCTCAGTATACGTAAACTCTGTCTCTGCCTCTCAGTTGAATAAACAATATCTTTTTCTTTTTTTTTTTTTTTTTTTGACAGGCAGAGTGGACAGTGAGAGAGAGAGACAGAGAGAAAGGTCTTCCTTTGCCGTTGGTTCACCCTCCAATGGCCGCCGTGGCCGGCGCGCTGCGGCCGGCGCACCGCGCTGATCCGATGGCAGGAGCCAGGAGCCAGGTGCTTTTCCTGGTCTCCCATGGGGTGCAGGGCCCAAGCACCTGGGCCATCCTCCACTGCACTCCCTGGCCACAGCAGAGGGCTGGCCTGGAAGAGGGGCAACCGGGACAGAATCCGGCGCCCCGACCGGGACTAGAACCCGATGTGCCAGCGCCGCTAGGCGGAGGATTAGCCTAGTGAGCCGCGGCGCCGGCCTGAATAAACAATATCTTAAAAGCCCATTATTGCTTTAAGAAATGAAACTAAAGGCACTCAGATCTAACAAAGGTCAGGCCCGGGCCATGCCCACAGGCTCAGCCCAGGGCCAGGGACCGTGGGAGCTGTGGTGACAGGCAGGTACTCGCAAAGCTTCTGCCCAGAAGGCCCGCCCACCAACCACTGGCGCACGGGCTGCTCTTGGGGACCCAGGGTAGGGCTTCCGTGAGGCAGGCGCACTGCCCAGGGTGGGTTTTGAGCAGAGCAGGGCCCGGATATGCGGCTCGATGGCCCGCGGTGAGAGGGAGGCTGCAGGAGTGACAGAGGAAGAGGAGCCCAATGTGGCTGCCAGGTGCAGAGGGTGCCTGCCTGCTGCGGAACTCCAAGGGCTCTGGTGAGGTGCTGACCCACTGAGGCAGCCCCTGGTGGGGGGCTCCGGCAGGCCACCTCCAGGCCAGGGTGGGACATGGATCACAGCAGCTTTGAGGCGTGGTTCTGAGCACCCGAGTGTAGACCAAAGGAGAAAAGCCATAGAGTGGGCCAGAGGGCAGACACGGGGCTGAAGAACCTTGTAGGCAGGTGTTGGCGAGCTGGTGGGAGCCAGCCCAGGTCGCAGGAGGGGCGCTCGAGCCATGAGGCCTCCGAGGCTGGGGTCCTCCAGCTAGGAGCGGCCATGTGAGAGCCCGGGGTGCCGGGAGCGCCTGGGTCCTTGCGCGTGGTGATCTGCACTGTCCCGGTGAGCGGAAGGACGGGCACCTGGCAGAGGCTGTGGCTGGATTCAAGTAATCCAGGATAGGCTGTTGCCATCCGTGAGGCCTATTCTTGATTACTTGTTTCTGGAGGCAGCTGATGGTCTGCAGCCCGAATCCAGCGGCTCTCGGGGACGTGGAGGTGTGAGCAGCGACTCACGAGGCAGGGGTGCCGCCAGTGCCCTGGGCTGGGGCAGAGCTGGGGAAGGTGACGGGGCCCAGCCTGCCAGGACTGCCCCCAGTGAGCCACCCTGCCCCTCCACAGGTGTACGTGCTCAAAAGGCCTTACGTGGACGAGTTCCTGAGACGAATGGGGGAGCTCTTCGAGTGTGTGCTCTTCACTGCCAGCCTGGCCAAGGTACCAGGGCTGGACGGGAGGGTGGACCGGGGCCAGGTGTGCGGCCCCGGCCTGCGTCCCAACCAGGGCCTCCTGTCCCCGCAGTACGCCGACCCTGTGACGGACCTGCTGGACCGCTGCGGCGTGTTCCGGGCGCGCCTCTTCCGCGAGTCCTGTGTCTTCCACCAGGGCTGCTACGTCAAGGACCTCAGCCGCCTCGGGAGGGACCTGAGGAAAACGCTTATCCTGGACAACTCGCCCGCCTCCTACATCTTCCACCCGGAGAACGCGGTGGGTGCCCCAGCGCAGCCCTGTGGTGGGAGCTGGGAGGGGTGGGCTGCAGGACCCATGCTTACGCCCCCTCCTCGTGCCCCAGGTGCCTGTGCAGTCCTGGTTTGACGACATGGCCGATACTGAGTTGCTGAACCTGATCCCCATCTTCGAGGAGCTGAGCGGAGCCGACGATGTGTACACCAGCCTCGGGCAGCTGCGGGCCCCGTAGCCTTCCCGGAGTCCCTGCAGGGCCTCGCCCACACTGTGCCTTTATGACCAGCCTGACAGACCGAGCCGAAACTGGAGCACCTCACCCGCCGGGGCCTGGGAGCAGCGTGGAGGGACTGGGGAGAGCACGAGGGAAGGTTAGGCGGTGCAGGCCCCCACCCGGCCGCCCAGAGCCGCCTGCTCACGGGCGTGTGAGCCGGCGCGCTGTGGCCGCCCGGCATGTGCCGTGTTTGGGGGCAGGGGAGCAGCTGAAAGATCAAGACTCTTCCCAAGGTAGTTGGTCTCCTTTATGTCGCCCCAGGAGCCGCTGGGCTCCGCAGGCTGAAGACGTGCAGGCCCTGTTGCCAAATCATGGCAGCCCCGCAGTGCCAAGGAGGAAGGGAGGGCGGAGGCCGCCTGGGCGCGCACCTTTCTGAAACCCTTCCCCAGCGAGCTGCTGCAGACGAGACACAGCGCTTGTGGGAGGTGCCAGAACCCCCACGGCTGCAGCCGAGTGCCTGGGTGAGCCCTCTCCGTGCCTCCCCGCGGCTCCGGCCGGGCCTGCCTTCCTCACACCTCGCCATAGTCTTGACCTTGTGTGGAAGACGGTCCTCGGCCCGCCCTGGAAGAGGACAGAGAGCCGATTTCCGTTCTCCTGACCCTTGTGTTTAAATTCTCTTTCTAAACGTGCAGTTTGGGGCCTAGTTTGTTTCTGGTGAAGCTTCAGCCCTGGCCGACAGCGAAGGTGGGCGGCGCTCGGGGAGCAGGGCGCAGAGGCGACCCCGGCTGTGAGTCGCTGGCCGCGTGCCCCTCGGCTGCTCCTGAGGGCCTCTGCGGGCGCTGGCCCAGAGGCCGGGGAGAGCCGCGCCCCTCCGTTTCTTTGGCAGGGCTCTTCCCTGCTGTGTCTTCCCGGGGCCTGTCCCCAGCCGAGCTCTCTCTGTTCCAGCCTGCATCCCTCCTGGCTGCCACAGTTCCTCTCCAGGGCCTCGGAACTCCTGCTTTTCCGTTGGGTGTGCAGACCTAAAGGCCGGGTCTCCTGCCTCCAGGAGTGGCGTGGGCAGCCCCTCCTGCACCTGCTCTCTGGCATGTCTGGCTTTCAGCGGTCCCTATTGGCAAATGCTTTAACAAACAGTCACCAAGAGGAAGTATCCCCGGGTAGAAAAAACAGAAGGGGAAGTGCTGCCAAGACTGCGAGCACAAGGAGCCCCCAAAGAGGGAGCCCCCACCTCCGCGTCACTGCCTTAATCATGGCCTCCCCGCGGCTGGTTGGGGCTCTCGCCTCCCTCCCTCCCTCCTGTGGAGCTGGGAGGGAGTTGCTGTCCCCATGTCTCTTCCCCCGAGGCAGGTGTCACAAAGCATTTGGGAATTGCTTCAGATGCGGGGGCACTGCCCACTCAGGACTCACTCCCTTGTCCTCAACTCCCGCACACCGGTCCAGCCTCAGGCGCTAACCAGCAGCAAGGACAGCGGGTGGCAGAGCAGCAGCCTGGCATGGCGAGTGTGGCCCCCGGTGGTGGCAGCTCCCCTCCCCAGCCCGGGGCTATGAGGCCTCGTCCCACTCGCTGGGGTCTCAGAAGTGGCACGGCCCCCAGAGCTTGTGTGATCATTCCCCCACAGCTGTGCGGCTGCCCACAGGCACCCATCAGCCATGCGTCTCCCGAAGGGCAGTGCAGCTCGGGCTCCTGCCCACTGTGCTTCGGATCTCGGCCCGGGCCCAGGTCGCAATCCTGCAGCTGCGAAAGGGGCCTCTCGCCCCACCCTGACCCTGAGGGCCCAGCCAAGCTCTTCTGACCAAACAAGCAATAAGAGGCGCGAAGCTGCTTGGGTTCCAGAGCCCTTCCTGCCTCCTCTGGAGCGCCACGTTCCAGGTGGAGAAGCCCCTGCCACTCCTTCCTATCCAGCGCGTCCACACCCTTGGTGAGGCCCGGGCCCCAAAGCCAGGGTGGCTCGTTGTCAGAACCCTGCCGGTCACCTGCAGCTCTTCCACGCCCGCCGTGCCCTCAGTCCCTCTCCCCTCACCCCTCCCTTCCCCCAGAAGCAGCTCAGCCAAATCTAAACAGGGTCCACCCATGGGGACCAGAGCCAGCCTCAAGTCATTATTTGCTGTCCAGTTTCACGGTTGTGTTAGGGGCCTGTGATGGTGGCAGAGAACTTGCTCCTCAAAGGAAACACATCAGACTGAGTTCTGGAGGGGAGCGAGATTTGAGGGTGGGGGGAGCCACGCCACCCCAGGACCTGTTCTGGGACTTCCCACTGGAGATGGTCCTTGGGAGTCGGCAGTCCCCTCCCTCCACCGGCAGCCTGGTCAGCGCCAGTTTAAGCCGGGCCAGGAATCCGCCCCTGCCAGGTTCAGTTATTTAAGGTGCCTCTTCAGGGACACAGTGTGTCTCGCCGGTCGGGCTTCTGAATCAAAAGCCTGATGTTCGTGTCCCTCTCATAGGGGGAGCTTTGGACACAGGACCAGTTTGGAAAAGGGTCAGGTAAGGGTGTCCACTCTGCACATTGCAGAGGGGCCCTCCGGAGGCCCCGGGTCCCTTCCTAGAGAGGCAGTGAGTTTGCCTCTGTTCAGCCCGGGGCCTCCGGCCTAGCTCCCTCCTGCCTCCCAAAGCGTTGACCGTTTTGTAAAACGGATGAATTCCCCTCTGCTATAGTGGTCCAGGGACTCCCTTGTGCTAAACACGGGGAGTCCAGCAGCTGTCGTTGCCTGGGAGGTGGTCCCACGTATTCCGCTGCCGCTACGTGTTCCCGAGGCCTTGTGCACACGGGCAGTCCCCATGGAAGGCTGTCCCGAGTCCCAGCCAGGCCACTGGAGGGGGACGGTCGGCCCGTTACCCCTGTGGGTCTTCAGTTGGTTGTCTGCCCACTCAAGCCGCCTCTCTCGATAAAGTGGGGTTTTGTTTTGTCTGTATTCTTCCTTTTACATGCCAGTAAGTGTCAGCGTTCACCCAGGGCAGCGGGGCTCAGCCGTCTGCCCTGCCCCCCATTCCTTGGCCGTCACAGGGCCTGCCCCGCAGTGGCCCACTGTGGGCCTCTGAGCTTGTGGTGACCCCAAGTCTGACACGGTCCACCTGGTCCCGCGCCATCCCCCCTTCGCGATGCCGTTCGAGGGTCGGGAATCTGCTTCCCCCTGTGCCTGGGCTATGGGATTCTGACTACCTTGCTTCATGATTTGATAAATTTGTTGTATTCAAAAACTTGAAATGTAGGACGCCATTAAGTGTCTGTTTATATTTTTGGAATATTTGTATTACTTACAACTAATTAATAAAAGCGGGTTTTAAAAACCTATCCGGTGGAGTTCCTGGCTTTGGGTTGGGGCAGCCCCAGCTATTGGGGTCATTTGGAAAGTGAACCAGCAGGTGGAAGATCTCTGCTCTGCCTTTCAAGCAAATGAAAAATAAATAAAAACCCACCCAGGAGTGGGAGCCGCCTCTGGACCTGCCATTGTTGGTTTGGGCACAGCTGGGCACTGCCCTGGCAGCCCCGCCAGCCACGATGAAGCCAGAGCATCTGAGCTGGGCAGGCCCCTGCGCCCACAGGGAGGCAGCTGCACATGGCCCTGGGCTTCGCTCAAGGTTAGAGAAGTCAAGCGACCTTAGCTCTAACCCGGCCCTGCTGGGAAGGAGCCCCATTGCCATCAGGGTGCTTAACAAGCAAGTGCTTGACGTCCTATTGACTGATTTCTGGGCATGAACCAGAACCAAAGCCCCAGGGGGAATTGGAATCTTGGTTCTTCCAATCCAGGAACCCTGAAATGGAGAGCCCTGCGCGGTTCCTGGCACACAGTGGGCATTCAGGCAGTGACGGCGTACGGGGGCAGTGTGACCAGTGGAAACCCCAAAGAGCAAAGCAGTGCTGCTTAAAAACACTCCCCTAGCCCCTCTCCTGAACTCCCCCCACCTTCAGAGAACCACCCAGAAGCTTCTCCGGGAGGCGCTCACCTGCCTGCACATCCCAGGCGCTCAGTGGACAGCTGCCTCCTGTCATCAGCATAATGCATCCATATCTACAATATGGCAAATTTCATATCCTCCCTCCCTGTTTCCTGCATTATTGATGGGCCGTGTGCTTTTAAAAAAATCAATAGATCAGGGTGTGGAGCTGGAGTTAGAAAAGAAGCCTTTAAAAGTCTGTTCTTGTTGTGTGAGCTGTTTTGAATAGGGAGAGAGAGCGCTTTCCCTCTGGTTTGAATAAGTGAAGCTAGGCTGGCGGTGATTGGCCAGGACTAGGAAAATGCGGTTAAGATGCAAACACAAGCAAATATAACCCGGTGCCTGCGCAGCCATTACTCCGCTCAGGCAGCAGGACCCGGAGCCTCTCGCCCAGAGCCAGCCCTTCCGCACCTGCTACTCCCTCATCCGACAACTGGGACGCCGTGAGAGAGGCCGAGGTAAGGCCTGCTCGCTCCGTGGGTGCATGTCAGTGGGACGAGTGGGGGACAGAAGGACACGGAGTCGGGGATGAGGCTTTTAAAGGGTTGAACCAGGAGTTTATGACTAGCTTTGCAAGCTTCCTGTTGGAAAGTTCAGAGACCAGCGAAGGGAGAGGACTGAGGAGACCCCTTTCACCTACCCCTAAGAAACAGGGGTAAGGCAAAAGCTGAAGCTAACCCTCCACATAGGGTTCATCCACAGGGGCATGTCTGAGAATTACCTGGAATTTCAAAAACACACCCCAAAGCAAAGGGTTTCTGCAGCCGTCCCAAAGGCTGCGGACTTAATAAATGACACTGATGTCGTAGGTGAATCGTTTTCTGGGCATTCCGGGCTGGCAGGAGGTCCCTTCCTGGACGCTATCCTCTCCTGCGTTTGGGGCCCCTGTCCCAGAGAGCTGCTTCCTAATGCCAAGCCCCTAGCCCTGGGGCTCTGGGTCTGGCTGTTTGAATCCGCGTCAGTGGATTGGCTTGGGGGCATCTGCCATTTCTCTGTCTTTGCTGGCCCTTGTGCCCATCCCCTGGGTGGGTCGTTGCATTGCCTGCAGCCAGTGGAGAAAACACAAACGACTATTTCCTGGCAGCTCTGCACTGGGTGGGGCGGGCAGTTACCAAATTAAATCCTCAAACATCGGCTGCTCTGCATCACTGCGCTGCTTTGGTCCTGCGATGGCGGCAGACAAAGGGAGTTTGCCTTTGTCTTTGCCTAAGTCCATACTAGATAATGGCGCATATTGTCTGAGCCTGGCCTCGTACATCCAGGCTAGAGAAGAGAACGGTCGGACATGCTCTTCGACGTGCACAATGTGCCTCCAAATTGCAAAAAGGCACACAGCACTTCCTGGATGACTTGTTTGTCTCCCCACGTGGATCCACCCATCTCGTGCACGGTGGCACTCATTCGTTACACGTACTGTCGGACTGCAAGCTCCTTGAGAGCAGGCACTTGGTGGGGATTTTGAGTCTATGAAGCCTATGTAGGTGCTTGAACGACTCCAGCCCACGCTTGGAATACAGAGGGTGCAGAGCACACGGCCTCCAATCCCCACTGCCTGCCTCTCCCTTCCCTGGCTTGTCGGGTCCTGAAGGCTCTCTGAGCTGGACTCTTAACACAGAGGCTGGGGAGGGGTGTGGGCCAGGGGCAAGGAGGCCACGTGCCCCCCGGCAAGGCTGGGCTACACCTGCCTTCCCATGCCGGCCGTGCCGGCACCTGGCACCTGAACCCTTTGTCCCCAGCCCAGCCCTGCTGTTTGTTTCCCTTCGGTGAGGCTTTTGTCACAGGACAAAAGCAGGGAAGGTTGAGTTTTCAGATAGTTGTAAAAGCCGACAGTGGCGGCTCACAAGCTGACAGTGGAGAGCAGCTCACAGCAGGGGACCTGAAGTCTGGGGAAGGGTCGCAGTCCATCCCCGCATGGGTTTTAGGGTCTGATGTAGATTTCATTTTGGTGTGACTTATCCTCTCTCAACGTCAACTTCACAATGAAGATGAAGTCATACTCCCCTAAGAAGTAGTGAGGGAACCTGCAAACGGAATCTGCGACACAGGGCGTAACATATCGATCTCCCCTCTAGCAAATAACCGTGGCTGTCACCAGGGCCCTAAACCAGGGAAGTGGCGGGTGGGAAGCAGGAAGCCCCTGGCCAAGCAGACTCATCACGTGAACTTGAACGTGTCGTTTCCCTGTCCATGGGAAACGGGGCAGGGACGCAGCACAAGGCCACGCGTGGCAGGGCAGTGGCTGAGAGATGGGGCGGTGACTTGGGAGAAAAGCGGAACTGGTGATGCCCACTGTGAGAGGCATCATCCCCCCTTCTTGCTCTGTGACGTTTCAGTCCCGGGGAGACGAGCGCCATGTCTCTGAGCAGCGCCTTCAGGGCCGTGGGCAACGACCCTGGGATCATCACCTGGAGGATAGAGGTGAGCAGGGCTGCAGGCACACACACCTGGCTCGGGACCACAGCCTCCCGTGCTCCTCAGCTCCCGGGGCCGGAACAGCGAGAGGGAGTATCAAAGTGCACCTGTGCCCGACCTTGACCCCTCCCGTGGGCTCAAGCAGCTGGGTGGGAGCTGCAGGAAATGCTCTCAGCCCTTGGCTCCCAGCAAAGCCAAGCTCGTCCTTGATCCAGCTGTCTACCCCCCTCCCCCCGCCAGTACATGCCCTGGAGAGAGGGGTGGAACCCCTGGGACCCACCCAGGACCAGGAGAGTCCTGGCTGTAGTGGTCGGAGCAGTGGTAAGTGCAAAAGCACTGTGGTTACTGCAAGGCGTGGGGTGAGGGCACTGCACAGCGGGGGGGGGGGGGTCACTGCTCACCCCTCTCCTGGGCTTGAGCCCCTCTGGGCAACTCTGAGCTCTGAACTCAGCAGGGTAGCTCCCCTGACGTGTGAGGAGTCCCCTCTTTCCCCCAGCCTGCTCTGAGCCCCTTTCGGTTGCTGCTGTGTGAAACCCAGATGGGGCACCTCACTTCACTACCCTCAGTGAGGAAGAGGAGTGGGTCACAGCCCCTTAGCCAGCCCTTCGTTGTAAGACTCGGTTTATGCAAACACTAACAGGCACTAAAACATGTGCTGACTTCACAGTCTCACATTTGGCACACACTTCACACAGAACACACCCAGGTAAGGCTGCAGGTGCACCTCCCTGGGAGAATGACGAAAACCCACCCCTGTGCCGGTGCAGATGGCCTCCTGGCACAAGCCGTGTGTGCACTGACAAACTGGGCTCCAGTGCAGACTCCCGATGATGGGACACTCTCTCCAATGTCCTGCGTCAGAGTTGGGGACAGCGTGTCGGGGGCACTGGCACAGGTGCTCGGGGGGTTGATTGACGGTTTATGTCGAGCCCTTCTCCCTGCAGAGGGCTGCAGGCAGCTCCCAAAACTCCCCCCACAGTAAGGCCAGGTGAGGCGGACAGGAAGTGGGGAGGGGGCAGGGGCGGAAACCAGGACAGGGACCCAGATTCCGATCCAGGAGACACAAAGGGCAGAGCTGGCAGGGGCCGTGGGAGTGGACCCGGCTACTCCTGTGGCTGACTGCCTCCATCTCTCCCCTGCCACCTGTGCCAAATGATGGCGGGGGGTGGGGGAGGACGCGGCCTGTACACACCCCTTGTCCTTCCAGAAAATGGAGCTGGCCCTGGTGCCCCTGAGCGCTCACGGCACCTTCTACGAGGGGGACTGCTACATCGTCCTCTCGGTGAGCACCTTTCTCCCCAGGGCAGCCAGGGGAGCCTTGTCCGGGGCTCTGCCGACAGAGCTGCTGGTGAGGGGAGGCAGGCAGCTCCCTGGTGTCCCTCCCAAGTGGTGCCCAGCTCTGTAGGCGGCGTTCTGCCCAGGCCAGCGGGGCCAGCAGCCAGGAAGGCAAGGCCAGCTGGCCCCTGACCCGACCCCTCCGGCTGTGTCCCAGACCCGGAAAGCCGGCAACATCCTCTCCCAGGACATCCACTTCTGGCTGGGGAAGGACTCCTCCCAGGACGAGCAGAGCTGCGCCGCCATCTACACCACGCAGCTGGACGACTACCTGGGCGGCAGCCCCGTGCAGCACCGGGAGGTCCAGCACCATGAGTCCGACACCTTCCGTGGCTACTTCAAGCAGGGCATCATGTGAGTAGCGAGATGCAGGGCAGCCCAGGGGCCAGCGCACAGCGCGGGGAGGTGGTCGGAGAGACTCTGATCTGAAGCTGTCACTTCCACCTTTTGGAGCAGCACAAATGAGAGGGCTGGGGGTGCCAGGCGCTGGCGAGGCAGTACAGAAGGTAGCCTGGCCACCCTGGCAGGTCCTGCTGCTGGGTGTGTGTCTCCAACACGTGTGCATCGGGGTAATGACCAGAATGTTCCCAGCAGGATGGCTAGTGGGGTAGGAAGCTGTGGACAACGCTGGCGTCCATCACAGGGGATGGACGTGCACACCAAGTAGGATGCCGCAAGCCAGAAGCCACACACCCGACACACACCGCTCACATAGACCCAAAGAACAAAGTTGGAGACAGACTGAGATAAAATTGAACAAGATGCCAGCTTCTGTTTTTAAAAAACTGCACACACACAGGACTCGCTGTACCGACTGCAAAATCAGAGAGCTGCTAAACCGTTAGGAAGGAAGCCTGCGGTGGGGCTGGGGTGGGGCACACAGAGCAAAGGGGATGCAGGGACAGCCGGCCCTGGACTGGGGGCTTGGAGAGGCCACTGGAAGTCCGCGAACTGACAGTCCGTGAACTTAACCCCACACTGCAGTTGAGGTTAAGAACTACAGGAGGAACTCCTAGGAGCTGGAGGCTGGCCCGAGGCCAGGTCCATGCAAGTGAGGATGTGCCGGGCACAGAGAGCCACACTGAGGCCCCAGGCGCCCCAAGGACAAGCCCCGCTGCCCCCAGGGCTGCTTTCTGGGTCCCTTAAAGTGTGGGACTCCTGCTGCAGAGGCTACATGGCAGTGAGTGCCTGGGGCAGGAGGGGGATTCCTGGCGTTGGTGTCACCAGTGCTCCACCCCTGCCCGATGGGTGGTCCCGTCCCCACAGCACGCTGCTGCTGTTCAGCTACGGGGCTGTCATCACTGGCCATCCGTCTGCTTTCACCTTCGCTTGTTTGCCGCCATCACCTGTGTGGCAGAGGCCACATGTGTGTGCAGAACCCGGCGCACAGCTGGTGCAGTGAATAACCCAACGGCTGTTCCCTCAGCTACAGGAAGGGGGGCGTGGCCTCGGGGATGAAGCACGTGGAGACCAACGCCTCCAACGTGAAGCGGCTGCTGCACGTGAAAGGCAAGAGGCACATCCGGGCCACCGAGGTGAGTGCTACCCGCTGCCCGGCCTGGGCCTTCCACACCCAAGGCCTCCTCCTGAACAATGCCGACATCCAACCGCAGGTGGACATGAGCTGGGACAGCTTTAACCGCGGAGACGTCTTCCTGCTGGACCTGGGGAAAGTCATCCTCCAGTGGAATGGCCCAGAGAGCAACAGTGGGGAGCGCCTGAAGGTAAGGCCCCCTCATCTCCCTCAGCCCTGGCCTGGGCTTGCACCCTCTCCCGGACATCTCTTCTTCCACGCTGGCTATGCCCCGAGGAGGATGCCTCCTCCCGCTGGGCTCCGGGGCATCCAGGCTGCTCCCCTCCCCCGATGGCAGCAGGCAGAAAGGTGTCCCGGAGGAGCCGAGGGCTTCCTTGGGATGCTTCTTCTTCTTCGACAGGCTATGCTCCTGGCCAAGGATATTCGGGACAGGGAGCGAGGGGGACGTGCGGAGATAGGGGTGATCGAGGGCGACAAGGAGGCAGCCAGCCCCGAGCTGATGAAGGTCCTCCAGGACAGCCTGGGCCGCCGCGCCATCATCAAGCCAGCCGTGCCTGACGAGAGCGTGGATCAGCAACAGAAATGCAGCATCACACTGTACCAGTGAGTGGCTGACCCTGGCCGCCGGTGAAGCGGGCTGCGGGGAGTGAAACCCAGAGAGCTGGGCACTCTGCTTGGCTCCTTGGTCTGGATACAAGCATCTAGCCTCCCTTCCCCTCCCCTCCCCTTCTCCCTTTCCCTCCCCTCCCCTGCCTCCTTCCTTTTTTAAGATTGATTAATTGGCGTGACAGGCAGAGTTACAGAGAGAGACAGACAGATCTTTCATCCGCTGACTCACTCCCCAAATGGCCACAACAGCCAGGGCTGGTCCAGGCCAAAGGCAGGAGCCTGGGACTCCCCAGGGTCCTTCTCCCATGTGAGTGGCAGCGGCCCAAGTACTTGGGGGCATCTTCTGCTGCTCTCCTAGGCCATTAGCAGGAGCTGATCGGAAACAGAGCAGCTGAGTCTCAAGCCAGAGCGCCCTTGCCAACGGGCTTAACCCGCTGCCCCACACCGCCCCTGGCTCTCTTCGTGGTCCTTTTCAAATGCAGCTTCTAGATCTTGTCAGCAGTGCCCATGCTCTCTGGGGGAGCCCGTTCCTCTGCTCAGGTCCACGCCTGCCCAGGGCTGTGGAAGGGACAACGAGAACACCAGCCACGTTCCTGTCTGCACGCAAGCCATGTCCACCTTAAGAAGCTAAACTGGCCAGCGCCACGGCTCACTAGGCTAATCCTCCACCTGTGGCGCCGGCACACCGGGTTCTAGTCCCGGTCAGGGCACCAGATTCTGTCCTGGTTGCCCCTCTTCCAGGCCAGCTCTCTGCTGTGGCCCGGGAGTGCAGTGGAGGATGGCCCAGGTGCTTGGGCCCTGCACCCCATGGGAGACCAGGAGAAGCACCCGGCTCCTGGCTTTGGATCGGCACAGCGTGCCGGCCACGGCGGCCATTGGAGGGTGAACCAACCAACGGCAAAAGGAAGACCTTTCTCTCTGTCTCTCTCTCTCACTGTCCACTCTGCCTGTCAAAAAAAAAAAAAAAAAAAAAAGAAGAAGAAGGAGGAGGAGAAGAAAAAGAAGAAGCAGCAGCTAAATTCCACCCAGAAAGGCCACACTGACACAAAGCTGGGTGTGCGGGCATTAGGCCCACAGCCCACATCAGAATGCTTGGGTTCACGTCCTGGCTCCGCCCCTGACTCCAGCTTCCTGCTAACACAGAGCTGGGGAGGCAATGGTGCTGGCTTAAGTAGCTGGGTCCCTGCCACCCACATGGGAGACCTGGATTGAGTGAGTTCCCAGCTTTCAGTCTGAGCTCAGCGCAGACCCAACCATTGTAGGCCTTTGGGAAGTAAACCAGCAAATAGGAGTGTTTCTCTCTCTCTCTCTCCCTCTCCCTCTCCCTCTCCCTCTCCCTCTCCCCCTCCCCCTCCCCCTCCCCCTCCCCCTCCCCCTCCCCCTCTCCCTCTCCTCTGACTCTAAATAAATAAATAGATACATAAATATATAAAACACATACACACCAAGCCAGAAAGACATCCGGCTGGCTGCAAGGTGCTTTGTAGACGAGAAGGCTCTGGCAAACCTCTCCCTCCTCCAGTGTCTCAGATGCAGCCGGGCAGCTGGCAGTCACCGAGGTGGCAGCGCGGCCTCTGGTCCAGGACTTGCTGAACCACGATGTAAGTAGAGCTCAGGTGGGCACCATTCGGGGGGTCAGGCTTGGCTCTGGAAGCAGAGCCTGGGCAAGGGACTGCTTTCCGGTCTGGAGCAGCAGTAGCCACCGCATCCTCACTGCTTCAGGACTGCTACATCCTGGACCAGAGCGGAACCAAGATCTACGTGTGGAAAGGAAGAGGAGCCACAAAGGTTGAGAAACAGGCGGCCATGTCCAAAGCCCTGGTGAGAGCCACAGATGATGGGCAGCCTCGTCCGGGTCATTGCACCAGCCACACTTGAGATATGAGCAGAGCGCCACAGCAGCCCCCGTGGTGCTGGGAGGCAGGTCCAGGTCTGCCTGTTCCCAGCAAACGCTCCTCACATTGAACATGGGACAACAGCCACCTCCCTGGTTGGGAGGACTAAGCACTTTTTTGTACAGCACTCAGCAGTACTGGGCACACAGCACCTGCTTACCAGAAGGGGACTATAAAGAGTGAGGGGCTGTCACATACCCAAGGCCGTGTGCACAAGGAGCTAATGACTTCAGTGCAGAGCCCTGAGCCAGGCCAAATGTGCTTACAAAATGAGCCACTGCAGGGGGTTGGGGGGGTGGGGCCACAGAATCAGGACAGTACCAAGAGCCAGCAGGACCGCTCCTCACAACCAGGCCAGGCCCGCGAAAGTGGCACCAGCTGGCTCCTTGCGGTCCTTAGGCAGCAATGCGCTAGAATCTGTGACCCCCAGAGGAGAGGGCCCCTGCCACGTGGCTCCCTGAGCAAGGAACCCAGGCCAGGGAGGGGCAGGAGATCCCACCTTGGCTGACCTGCACGGGGGCCTCCGCAGGCCTTCCTCAAGCTGAAGGGCTACCCCAGCAGCACCAACGTGGAGACGGTCGCCGACGGGGCCGAGTCGGCCATGTTCAAGCAGCTGTTCCAGACGTGGACGGTGAAGGAGCAGGCCACGGGCCTGGGGAAGACCTTCAGCATCGGCAAAATCGGTGAGACCGTGCCCTCCGGGGCCCGCCCCGGGGCAGGCGCCCATGTCCCTCACTCACTCGGCTTTTCCCAACCCCTCTCCGCAGCTACGTTTTTCCAGGATAAGTTTGACGTGACTTTGCTACACGCAAAGCCAGGGGTCGCGGCCCAGGAGAGAATGGTTGACGACGGCAGTGGAAAAGTTGAGGTGAGGGCGGGGGTTACGGCACAGCGGGGAAGGGGGGGCACCTGCTTGGGACACCTGCATCCCACACCCAAACGGCCAGTTCAAGTCCCAGCTGCTCTGCTTCCAATCCAGCTCCCTGCTAATGTGCCTGGGGGACAGCAGAGGACGGCCCAACTATTTGGGCCTCTGCTACCCACATGGGAGACCCAGATGGAGTTTCTGGCTCCTGGCTTTAGCCTGGCCCTGCTCTGGTTGTTGTGGGCATTTGGAAAGTGAACCAGTGGATGGAAGATTCCTCTCTCTCATTCTCTGTCTCTCTCTTCCTGTCTTTCAAATCAATCAATCTTTTTTACAAAATTTCTAAACAAACTCAGAATGAGCCTGGTGGGGACAGCCCCGGCTCCTAGACTGTTGCTGTGCAGGGATGGGGCGGCGAGGGGCTGGGGGAGGGTAGGAGGTTCAGGGGAGGGGAATCTGAGTCCCTTCATTGTCCCTTCCTCTCTGGCACCTCTACCTCTGAGAGACCCATGGGCCAGCAGTGTCTCCTCACAGTGGTCCAAGAAAGGGAAGGACGCGGCATACCCTGACCGTGCTGTGGGTTCCTCGCCCGGCAGACACACTCACATCACTTAGGCTGCAAGAAGGAGCCAGGGCAGGGTGCACCTGACCGGGGACAGGACTCGGATCATGCAAATGGGATGAGCGCTCCCCACTGGGAGCGAAGAACCAGAGGGGCAGGGTGCTTGGGTGGGTGCTGGCACCCTTCTCACCGGAGTTCTCTCTTAAGCAGCCCCGCCTGCCTCCCCCACCCCAGGTCTGGAGAATCGAGAACCTGGAGCTGGTGCCAGTGGAGCGCTCGCAGTATGGCTTCTTCTACGGGGGAGACTGCTACCTGGTGCTCTACACGTACGAGGTCAGCAGAAAGCCACATTACATCCTGTACATCTGGCAGGTAGGCCTGGCATGGACCCTCGGCTTTGGACCCGGACAGCTCCCCTGGCCCCGGGGCTGGGGCACGGAAGCAGGGGCCCAGGACTCCCCTATCCACCCCGCCCCCGCAGGGCCGCCACGCCTCTCAGGACGAGCTGGCCGCCTCTGCATACCAGGCAGTGGAGGTGGACCGGCAGTTCGACGGGGCTCCCGTGCAGGTCCGGGTCAGCATGGGGAAAGAGCCGCGGCACTTCATGGCCATCTTCAAAGGGAAGCTGGTTATCTTTGAGGTGAGGACCCCCAGGCAAAATTACACCCCGAGCAGGAAGGCTCAGACCTTACAAACCAGCAGCAGGCTACTTGGGGGGCTTGTGGCAGGGGGGATGTGGAGCAGGGCCTGGATTAGACAGACAGACAAGAGAGGGCTGATCTCTGTGAGATACTCCAGGGAATCCCGACCACCTAGTGCTTCCTGTCCAAACCACTGCTTCCTGTCCAAGGTCTGCCACATCTGACCTGTATCCCCCATGCGGGTGCACTGCCCTCTGCTCCCCAACCTGCAGCCACCACTCTGGTCAGGCAGGTCTCCTCCTTAGACCTCATGTGCTGTAACCTGCTGCACCCCACCCTGCCAATCACCCCCTCTTAAATTCAAGTCCCACTTCTTCCATGAAGCCCCGGCTGAAGCAGTGCCAGGCAACCACATCCATCACATACCTGAGATCACGCCAGCCCTAGCCTTGTCACTCATTAGTCAGGTTTCTGAGTCTTGGTTTTCTCGTTATTATCCTATACTATAGGATAATAATACCTACTCTACAGAGTTAAGATGAGGATCAACAAAACGATGCAGGAAGGCTGTAGTCCCACAGCCTGGCTTAGGACCAAGTTCTAAGGACGAAACCCAGCATTGCGGGGTTAACCCGCCACCTGCGACACTGCCACCCAAATGGGCACCGGTTCAAGTCCCGGCTGCTCCACTTCCAATCCAGCTCCCTGCTAATGCACTGGGAAAGCAGTGGAAATGGCCCAAATGCTTGGGCCCCTGCACCCATGTGGGAGGCCTGGATGAAGCTCCTGGTTCCCAGCTTCAGCCTGGCCCAGCCCTGGCTGCTGCACCATTTGGGGAGGGAACCAGCAAATTAAAGATCTCCCTCTCCCCCTCCCTCTCTCTCTTACTCTGTAATTCTGCTTTTCAAGTAAATAAGTACATCTTAAAGCAGCAGCAGCCAGTATTGTTAGCACCACAGCTGCAGCTCACCCAAGCTCAAGTGCAGGGCCGGTGTCGGACGCGCCTGCAGTCCCCACAGCGGGCGCAGGGCTGCACCCGTGCGGATCCCTTCTGCTTTCCTTCCTCTCTGCAGGGTGGGACCTCCAGGAAGGGCAGCGCCGAGCCCGCCCCTCCGGTGAGACTCTTCCACATTCGAGGGAACAACAAATCCAACACCAAAGCTGTGGAAGTCCCGGCCTTCGCCTCCTCCCTAAACTCCAACGACGTGTTTCTGCTGCGGTCTCAGGCGCAGCACTACCTGTGGTGCGGCAAGGTAGGGCCTGCACTCCGCGGTCAGCGGTCAGCCCGGCCCTTTGGAGCCCAGCCCCGTGACCCAGCAGTAGGCAGGGCTGCGCCTTTTGGCAGCCCCACCAACCAGCTAGAAACCTACACACACAAACCTGCGCAGGTCGAGGCTGGAACAGTCCCGCCCCCTCCGTGGCTTTGGTGGGCGGGCGCAGGCCAGGTTCCGGTGTCGAATGGAAAACACTAAAAAGGAGGTATCATCCCTTCCTACGGCATCCGTGCATGAGAAAGCACCAGCAGTGTGCAGCGCACAAATTACAACCAGCACGAGGGTTACAACCAGCACGAGGGTTACAACCAGCACGAGGGGCCGGTTACGCCCCGGCAGCCCACACCCGAGCAGCTGGGTTTGACCCCAAGCTCTGCTCCGGACTGCAGCTTCCTGCCAGTGCAGAGCTGTGAGGCAGACTCCAGCTGATGCTTGCTGTGGTGAGGCCTCTGCCACCCACGTGGGAGACCCGTATCTCCTGCCCGGCTCCCAGCCGTGGCCCAGCCCAGCCCTGCCGTTCAGGCATTTGGGTATTGAACCAGCAGATGGGGGCTCTCTGTTTTATTCTCTCTCTCCAAGTAATTAGTTTTTCCTAAACTACCACAAGATGGCATTGCCCATTCTATTTTTTTTTAAAGATTTTATTTATTTACTTGAGAGGTAGAATTACAGACAGTGAGAGACAGAGAGAAAGGTCTTCCTTCTGCTGGTTCACTCCCCAAATGGCCACAACAGCCGGAGCTGTGCCTATCCGAAGCCAGGAGCCAGGAGCTTCTTCCTGGTCTCCCATGTGGGTGCAGGGGCCCAAGCACTTAGGCCATCTTCTACTGCTTTTCCAGGTCACAGCAGAGAGCTAGATTGGAAGAGGAGCAGCCAGGACTAGAACCAGCGCCCATGTGGGATGCCAGTGCAGCAGGCGGAAGATTAACCTACTATGCCATGGTGCCGGCCCCCTATTTTTTTTTAAGATTTATTTATTTGAAAGACAGAGTTACAGAGAGAGGTAGAGACAGAGAGGTTTTTCATCTGCTGATTCACTCCCCAGATGGTTGCAATGGCCAGAGCTGCACCAATCCGAAGTCAGGAGCCAGGAGCTTCTTCCAGGTCTCCCACATGGGTGCAGGGGCCCAAGGTCGTGAACCATCCTCTACAGCTTTCCCAGCCCATAGCAGAGAGCTGGATCAAAAGTAGAACAGTGAGACTCAAACTGGCACCCATATGGGATGACCAGCACTGCAGGCCAGGGCTTTAACCCGCTGCGCCCCAGAGCCAGCCCCTGCCCATTCTGTTAACATGGCTGAAGAAGTCAACACTGTGAAGTGTGGGTGAGGACGCAGAGCAGGAACTTTGATGCGATGCTGTAGGAACACGAAATGCTACAGCTTTTGGAAAGCAGTTTAACCGTTTATTGTAAAATTAAATTTACGTTTACCATATGATCCAGCTTTCCTACCCTGGGTATTGACTCAAGTGAAAAAGAAAATTTCTTCACACCAAAACCTGTAAACAAATGTATATTGCATCTTTCTTCGTTATCACCAAATCCTGGAAACCGGGTAAACAAACAATGGTGCATCCATATAATGGAATACTACTCAGCAATGAAAAAGAATGAACTAGCGTAGATGCTTAGCCTAGAGGCAAAGATGCCCACATCCCTTGTTGGAGGGCCTGGCTGGACACCCAGCTCAGCCCCTGACTCCAGCTTCCTGCTGATGCAGACCCTGGGAGGCAGCAGTGATGGCTCAAGCAGTTGGGTTCCCATCGCCCATGTAGGAGACTTGGATTGCATTCCCTGCTTCTAGCTTTGACCTGGCCCTCCATCATGAGCATTTGGGAAATAAACATGCACATGGAAACTCTTGTACTCTCTTTCTTTCTGCCTCTCAAATAAATTTTTAATTTTTTAAAGAGTTTATAAAGAGAGAGAGACAGAGATCTTCCATCTGCTGGTTCATTCCCCAGATGGCGGCAATAGATGGAACTGGGTTGATCCGAAGCCAGGCGCTTCTTCCAGGTCCCCCACATAGGTGCAGAGGCCCAAGGACTTGGGCCATCTTCTGCTGCTTTCCCAGGTGCATTAGCAGGGAGCCGCATTAGCAAGGAGCTGGATTGAAGTGGAGCAGCTGGGACTCAAACTGGCGCCCATATGGGATGCCGGCGTCATAGGCAGCGGCTTTATTCACTATGCTCAACACCAGCCCCTCAAAAAAATGTTTTTAATTGAAAAAAAAAATGAACTGCTGACACATACAATCACAAGGATGAATCTCAGATTCATTATGCCGAGAGAAAGAAGCCAGATGGAAAGGCTAAATCTGCTTCCACGTTGGCCTTCTGGAAAAGGCAAAACTACACAGACAGAAAACAGATCAGCGGCCGCCGGAGACGGGACTCAGGGGGGCTTTGACGCCCTAGGGAATTCGGGGGGATTTAGGTGGATGGGGCTCCGTATCTTTACGGGAGTGCTGGTAACTCGAACCTTTGTGTTTGTCAAGGCTCGCAGAACTGTATGCCAAAAAGAGTCGATTTTGTATGTAATTTTTAAAATTAACTTTCTCCAGAAAAAAAGAATCAAAGGTAGGTGCTAAAACTGAAGCTGGAACAAAAGGCGACTGCTGGCAGCACCCACTGTGGGTTTCAGAATCTGCTCCTTCCGCTGTGCCCAGCACCGGACCACACCTGTTTCCCCGGAAGGCTGACCCTGCCCCACCGAGTTACCATCTAGAAGCTTCTCTGCCCACACCTGGGAAGATGCGGCCCCCACCCCTGCCGCTGACCCCAGGCCTCTGCTTCCCCCGCCCTCAGGGATCCAGCGGGGACGAGCGGGCAATGGCTAAGGAGCTGGCCGGGCTCCTCTGTGACGGCGCTGAGGACACTGTGGCCGAGGGCCGGGAGCCGGCCGAGTTCTGGGACCTCCTGGGAGGGAAGACTCCCTACGCCAACGACAAAAGGTGGGAACGTGCTCTCCTTGGCGCCCCCTGCCGGCCAGGCTTGTGAACCGCACAAAGCCTGAGGTCCCTCTCTCGGACGGGGCTGTGTTGCAGACTGCAGCAGGAGGCGCTCGACGTGCAGCCCCGTCTCTTCGAGTGTTCCAACAAGACCGGCCGGTTCGTCGTCACTGAGGTCACAGACTTCACCCAGGATGACCTGGACCCGACTGATGTGATGCTCCTGGACACCTGGGACCAGGTAAGACGCAGCCACGACGCCCAGGATCTCTCTAGTGGAGGCTGTTGCTACATCTCGACCACAAGGCAGTGTATATGCCAGGCAGCCCTCGACCGTCCCCCGCTCAACCGAACACCTGCCAGTGGTGACCAAGGGAGCACCTGCTTTTTGGCCAGGCTCAGAGAGAACAGAATGGGGTTTAAACCTCGCCATCCTGCACATCCTCCTGTCTCGCTTTGGGAAAACCAGACCATCCCACCAGGCACTTGTTCATCTCAGGGGCAATAGCAATGGGCTCCAATAACAGAGAGTAGGGGCCTCTTAGGGGACATGGGGGTGTTCGGCTCAGCAGGCACCCCGTGGGCCGCCGCTGTCACTGGGCTGGGTGAGGGCCCCCTCTACCCCGCCCTCAGAGCTCACAGGCTTATGGAGGAGCAGTACACAGACCATGCTGGGGTGTACACGGGGACATGAATTAGCAGACTCCGCCCAAGAGGAATGAACTGGGGAGAGACGGATGAGGGGGCCCGGCCCCGGTGACTCGCTGGATCTGGGGAGTTTCTGGATGGAGGCCACTTCCCACGAGTGGACGTGCAGTCAGACACACGTTTAGGAAGGGAGAGCGCTCCACCCAGGGAATGATGGCGGAGGGCTCGAGACAGCACAGAGGAGGTGTTACGACACTGCGGCACTCAGGAAGCTGAGGTTCGGAGAGCCCTCGGGTTTGGAGGGGGAGATACACAGAGCAGTGAAAGTCACACGCCCCCCCCCCCCCCGGGTCTGGAGAAGCCTCTCCCTGCTGAACCTGTTAGGCCGTTTTCTGTGGCTGTGAAGTGCTGAGGGGAAAGCTGGGGAGCGTGCAGGGGCTAGGACGTGGCGCCAGGGACGAGTGCTCGGATGAACAGGACATGCCCACCACACAGGTGTTCCTGTGGATTGGGGCTGAGGCCAACGCCACGGAGAAGGAGCGGGCCCTCGTCACAGCCCAGGAGTACCTGCGCACTCACCCCAGTGGCCGGGACGCCAACACGCCCATCCTGGTCATCAAACAGGGGTTTGAGCCTCCCACCTTCACCGGCTGGTTCCTGGCCTGGGACCCTCACGTCTGGAGTGTAAGAACAAGGAGTGGGGAAAGACGCCAAGACTGCCAGGGAGCTCCAAGGGGGAGGGTACTGACTCCAGGGCTGCGCTGGACCAGGACCTCAAGCCCCTCCCCTCTACTCCACTCTCTGCCTTTTGACCTTTCCCCTCTTTCTCAACACCCCCTCCCCAGCAATAAGTGTAGTCAGTCAGATGACTCCCACAAAGCAGTGCGAAGTGCTGAGCAGCCTGTCGGCTTTATCAAAAGCGCACCCGTTGATTTGATCTCTACTGCGGCCCACTTGTTAGATCAGGAAGCCGAGTCGTTAACCCACGGGAGGAAGTCCACTTCTCCCCGCGCGGCCGGCTCTGTCACTCTCCTGGGGCGCTGAAGTGCCTTGCCTCTCGGGCCCACCTGCCTCTCCCGCAGGCACGGCCTCAGGTGCCCCTCTCCTCAGCCCCTGTCCCCTGTCTCACCTTCTCAGGCAGGAAAATCTTACGAACAACTGAAAGACGAGCTGGGAGACGCCGCCGCGATCCTGAGAATCACCGCTGTGAGTCGGGCTTGCTCCTGGGGAAGCCGCGTTGCTGCAGATGCCACAGGGGCAGAACCCCACCGCCTCCTCCTTGGTCCTCCGCCAGCAGCCCGCTTGTCTCTAAGGATTTCTGTATTTATTTGAAAGGCAGAGTGACAGAGAGAGGGAGAGACAGAGAGATCTTCCATCTGCAGGTTCACTCCCAAAAGGCCACAACAGCTGGGGCTGGGCCAGGCCAAAGCCAGGAGCCAGGAGCTTCTTCCATGTCTCCCACGTGGGGTCAGGGGCCCAAGCACTCGGGCCATCTGCTGCTGCTTTCCCCAGGTGCACTAGCAGGGAGCTGGATCAGAAGCAGAGCAACTGGGACTTGAACCGGTGCTTGTACGGGATGCCAACATCACAGGTGGCAGCCCACCCACTGTACCACAATGCCAGCCCCTTATTGTTTTGTTTTGCATTTTTAAGCTTTTATTTTTACCATTTTTTAAAAGATTTTATTTATTTATTTGAGAGGTAGAGTTACAGACAGTGAGAGGAAGAGACAGAGAGAAAGGTCTTTCGTCTGCTGGTTCACTCCCCAAATGGCCACCACGGCCGGCGTTGTGCCAATCCAAAAGCCAGGAGCCAGGTACTTCCTCCTGGTCTCCCATGCAGGTGCAGGGCCCAAGCACTTGGGCCATCCTCCACTGCCTTCCCGGGCCACAGCAGAGAGCTAGACTGGAAGAGGAGCAGCTGGGACAGAATCTGGCGCCCCAACTGAGACTAGAACCCATGGTGCTGGTGCTGCAGGTGGAGGATTAGCCTAGTGAGCCACGGCGCCGGCCATCCTACTATTATTTTTAAAATATGTATTTATTTATTTGAAAGGTGGAACTTTACAGAGAGAGAGAGGGAGAGACAGAGAGAAAGGTCTTCCATCTGCTGGTTCACTCCCCAAATGGCCACAATGGCCGGAGCTGCGCCATTCCTAAGCCAGGAGCTTCTTTCAGGTCTCTCACAAGCGTGGCAGGGGCACAGGCACTTGGGCCATCTTCCACTGCTTTCCCAGATGCATTAGTAGGGAGCTGGATCAGAAGTGGAGCAGGCAGGACTCAAAGCAGCGTACATCTGGGAGCTTTACCTACTACCCCATAATGTCAGCCCCCACTTATTGTTCTTAAAGTAGCAATTTTGTTCTAAATTCAGGAAGGCAGTAAAATGAGAAACTGGACTCTAAGACCTTATGTCCTGTTGATTAAAAATAATCTCCACATCAAAATGCACAAGTAGAGGGAGGCATATTTGGTAAATAAATAAAACAAGAAGCTTCTAACCCAAAAGATTTTTCCATCAGTTCCTGACCGTGAGGACCATTTGCCCCTATTTAATGGTTAAAAAAGCGGAGCCTCTGGCCAGGAATCTAACAGCTTTTTAACCCCAGGACGAGCACACGGCACCAGGTGTTCAGCCATCTGGCAATTTTGTCCTTTGTGCGCTGCAAACTCAGATCCCAAAGCTACTGGGGCTGCCGTGTCTTTAAATGGTGCTTAAATGAAGTCTGACTTCAACCTGAAGACATTCAGACACAGGGGGCCCTAACGAAAGACACCCAGAGCAGGAGTGAGCACTACATTTCAGCGAAGACAAGCACGGCACGTGTGCCAAGCTGGCGATCCAGGAATCCCCTTGGGCTTTTGCAGCACCCTCCCCAAGAAGGACCCCAGCTTCCCAGGGACTCAGACGTGCAGCAGGGCTGGGCGCCAGTCCTCTCACTGTGATTACTTAGGGACGAAGTGGTGTCACGTCAGCATGTTAAATGTCACGCACACAGGGAACTGTGACCACACAGACGCTGCACGGTCTTTTTTATCCTGTGTCTGTGTTCTCATCTAGGACATGAAGAATGCGACCCTCTCCCTGAGTTCTGAGGACACTGAGCCAAAATACTACCCGATAGAAGTTTTGTTGAAGAAGCAGGATCAGGAGCTGCCTGAGGACGTGAACCCTGCCAAAAAGGAGGTGAGCGCCTGCCGCTGAGGGAATCACGGAATGGCCTGAGCGCACTGGCGCACGGCTGGCACCCGACGGGCATGGGAGCGGCCGAGCAGCCCAACCCCAGCGCCCACCGGTCCTACCTGACCCAGCCTCACCTCACACACCAGCCCGCCGGCCTCTGTCTGTGCCCTGGCATCCTTCCGCTGCTGGCAGTCCGGCTGCCGTGGGCTGCTGTGCTTCAACTGGCTCCTACCCATCGCTGCACACCGGCTCCTGCGTTAAGAGCCAAAGGGATCTTCTAAGACAGATGGCCCAGTGCCATCTCCAACCCATCAAAGGGCTCCCCACTGTTCTTTAAAAAAAGAACCCGAAGGCCTGCAGGGTCTGGCCTTTGCCTGCCTCCCTGCCTGCATCCCCAACACCACCACCTCTTCTCACTCACCTGCAGCCACAGCTGCTTTTCTGCTCCTTGCACAGACCGATGCCAGCCCTGCAGCCTTTACACCTGCTGCTGCACTTGCCTCAAAACATTTTCTTTTCCCTGCTTATCACAGGGCCAGCTCCTTTGCACCCTTAGGTCTCAGCTCCAATGTCACCTCCTCAGGGAGGCCTTCCCTGGCCACTCTGTCCAACATTGCTTGCCTCTCTGGCTCCAGTACTTTTTCCACTTACTTGTTCATTGTTTTCTGTAATGTCCTTACGAGAAAAGACTTTGTCTTATTCGCCATCATCATCTCAGCTTTTCGGCACCTAAAACAGTGCCTGGCTGGTGGTTGGCACTCCTTGATTTGGGAAGGGACTCTGGATTTCCCCCAGTGTCTTATCTAACCAATCTGCACGTAGCTGGATGCTTAACAACTTTCTCGAAATTATATTAATAAGCTTTACTTTGAAAATAGTCCTTACACCAATAAATAAATGTTAGGAGAATTTTATCCCCTTCGCAAGTCCTACCTGATCTTGCCTTTGAAAATTTCTGGGTAAAAGTGGTAGCTGAAAGCATGAAGCAAAGAAGTTATCCATTCTGCCCATGTCGGATGTCTGATTCATCCATAACATATGAGCCATCTCCTGTCTTTCTGGCGAGAAGCTGGTGGTGGCCAGGCCCGCGAGCACCGTTAACCAGTAAGCTGCTTCCCGGGCCGCATGGCACGGATGGCACGCCGCGCCTGATGAACACCTCTCCCGTGAGTGATTCAAGTCCAGCACAGCATTTCTGAGGAACCCATCCCCCTCCTCCTTCCGGGAGCTCCCCAGGACTCCCTCCTGCCCTCTCCTGCCCCTCCTGGTGGCGCTGATGGCTGTCACACCTTCCTTCTAACTTCGAAACTGTGCTTTCTCCCCTAGAATTACCTCTCCGACCAGGACTTCGTGTCTGTGTTCGGCATCCCAAGGGGGCAATTTGCTGCTCTGCCTGGCTGGAAACAGCTGCAACTGAAGAAGGAAAAGGGGCTTTTCTAAGGCAGGAAGGCCGATGCCAACTGCCAAGCCCACAGGAGATGGCGCACAGGGCCGGGATCAGCCAAGCACTTCTCTACCAACCCCTGCCTAGCACTCAGCTACCTAACTTAGGTACAGTAGCACCCGCCAGTGCCAGCATGGCTTCTGCCCTTCCCCATCCGTGCACTCCCTGGTGGTTGTACACCGAACGTGTGAAGCACCCACTTTTTGGGTTTTGTGGCCTTTGAGCAACGGTCAGCAGAAAGCACTAATGCCGCGTGAATCCGGAGAAGCCAAAAGGAAGGGAACCCAAAAAAAGCTAAACTTGAAATGGTTAGTGTGGTGCCAGGACCTAGATTTAAGTTCAGAATTACTGAAACCTATTTAACTTAGAGTTAATAGAGCATATTTGCATATACTCTCCAAGGTCAAGATCTAAATGTCAGATCTGCTATGTGCCAGAGTGTTTTTAACTTTTCCAATAAAGGTAATTGTATGAGCAAATGGAGATCTTTTTGGTATCTGGGGTTTGCATGTGATGGTGATTTTGTGTTCTGTTGGGAGAAGGAAAGAGGTGACGTTGAACCAGCTCTCAGGATAACTGGGCCTTGGAGATCTCTGTTTCTGGCCCAGGAATGTCCAAATCTGCCCCACAGCTGTCCAGGAAACCTCAGGACAGCACCCCCACCCCATGACCACCACTACCCCCTTATCCAAAGGAGAAACAGGGCCATGTGTTCTTCATTTCTATGAGGCCAGACCCCATGTGCATGCCACTGAGCCCCCAAAGCATGCTACAGACATCACCAAACGAAGCCACACTCAGACAACTCTTGATGTCTGCACGGACAATTCCAAAGGAATGGTGTGGCCCAAGGCGCGCAACCGAGGAAGGCCCAGCCTGGGAGCACGGTCCCAGGTGTCACAGAGCTCAAGACTTCCGCGTCACAGGAGGAGGACGGGACGTGAGTCAGGGACTTCAGGGATGCCACAGTTAAGTCTGAGCTGCAGGGAACAGCGACACAGGTGTGGATGCCTGTCTCCCAGCCACCGCCGCCGCGAGCGTGGACACCTGTCTCCCAGCCGCCGTTAGTCACGGCAGGACTGCTGCTTTCTACCACCTGTCACGAGGAAGCACCAAAAAGCTAAACCCCTTATTACGTAAGCAGGGAAATAGTCCACTCTTTATTATACAGCGTTTTTGTTTAGTAATTTTACTCATAAAGTGATACTTTCATTATAAACTCAACTGAAAAATCTGAGGTTTAAGGAGGCTTAGGAAACAACTTGCAGTGATGTCCAGCCCTACACAATAACAGCTCCTCCTGGGCCCAGTCTCTGGAACCTACTCTGCCTCTGCCACCTCGTCTTCTCCACATTCAAAGCGCACAAAGTCCACTACAGAGACGCCCTGCGGCTGCACGTACTGTCCCAGCGTGATGGAGGGGTCCAGCAGGTACGGCTGCGACAGCATCTTGGTTTCTGCCTCTCCCCCGGGCTCATCGTCCAGGGAGCCAACAGAGAGAGGGGCCATGCCCACCACGTGCTGCCCGAGGCGGCGGCCAAGGTCCTCCAGGTTTGCGTTCTGCTCGGACGTCTCGCAGACGACTAAGGCCCCGTACTTGCCCAGCACCAGGCTGTGCAGCGAGGGGCTGTGCACTGCTCCGTGGACGTAGGAGCCAATGTAGAAGCCAGACGGCACCTTCACCCAGGCAGCTCGCTTCAGAGTCATGTTTTCCCCCAGCTTCCCTACGAAAAAGCAAAAGTAATCAACACGCCATCAGAAAATGATGCCTGGTGTGGTAGCAACATACGCACAGGAGACGCCAAGTCAGGAAGCAAATCCCTCTACATTTGCACCAGATAGGCAGTCAGAGGCAGAGATACCATTTTCTGTGTTTGTTTAAGACCAACTCCCTGGCAGGTTCTCAGGTTTCCAGATGTAAGCTGTGACGTCACGGACACGGGTCTCTGGTCGGCCCCTTACTGGCTGTATGATCTTGGGCAAGTGGCTTACCGACATGACCCTGCTCACTAACTTATCAAGCCTAGTTTCCCCACCTGCGGAATGGAGATGACACCGCCACCTCCCAGGGCTCTCGGGAGAGAATGAGCGCGGAGCGAGCACTCAGGTGCTGGCTGTGAGCACGGTGGCTTAGAGAGCTTACGTGGCCCACACAGTAATCCACAGCAGAGCTAGAACTAAGCCTCACATCTGACCCCCAAGCAGTCAAGTGCTTTTTCCCACCAAACTACTAGCCCTCCCAAATGTCACCGTAACTGACCAGATGACCAGATCAACCGCTGTTTCAGGAAAAGGCCCACAGCTAGAAGCCCCAGAACCCCGGAACCCCGTGTCAGCTGACGAATCAGCTTCCTCTCATCAGCAACAGAAACCCAACACCTAGGACTCCGGGGGCCCAGAGATGCCGGAAGGGAGGGCCAGAGAACACACGAGGGGTCTAGAGCGCCACAGGGTAACTACAGTCAGGAAACTGCGCACTGGGGTTCATTCCCAGGAACCGGCAACGCTGAGAACCCCGCAGTTCCAGAATGTCTTAGTAAGCCCCACACACGGCTGACTGCCTGGTTGTCACATGGACTCACTGAAACATCGCAGACACTGCAAGGTGACCTGACAGAAACAGAACGGAAGTCTTGACTGAAACTGCATGCGAGCATTCAACTCCCAGCCAGCTCAGCGCAGCCCACATCCGTGCGTCCCTCAGGGTCGTGCCGGGCGGCAGCAGCATCCCCAGCCGCCCCCTGCAACGATGCAGACACAGCTCCTACAGTCAGTGGGCCCTCAAAGCGTCCCTTCCCAGGCCCCGGACCAGAAGTTTTGAAAAGAAAGACTGAATCCCTAAAACGGATGCCTCTCAGTTCCCCTGGGTCCCTTACAGAAGGGATAAAACACTCCCTACAGCATTTTAGGTACAGTCCAGGGACTCAGCTGAAAGGCAAAGCCACGTCTGCCTGAAGACACACTGGCCAGCAGAGAGCTGCCTACAAAGAGCCCAGTCATGAGGTCCAGGTCCTCTTAAGGAACTCAGAAACGGAGACGCTGGGACTGCATTTCCCCCAATACCACGGCGGGCGAAAGCTTGCAGATGGGGCTTTCCCAGCCACCTAGGAGCCCTGCAGGGTGCCTACCGCGCCCTGAGGGGTCACCCACAACCCACTTCCCATCCAGACAGTCTGGCCTTACAGGAACATGAGGAATTCTTCATCTAGAAGAAGCCCCAGCCCGTGACTTCCAGAACCCTTAGATACTCACCAATTGCCAAGGCCAGCTGGTCCTTCAGACAGCCTTCTCGGTCAGGCCCAGCGGGGAGTCCCGAGAGCTCAGAGGAATCCAGGAAGCCCTGGTGCACAAGGGGACAAAGAGGAGCCAGTCTGCACTACTCAGGTTAGTAAGACACGAGGCACAGATGCCCTATTTCTGAGAGAGAGAGTTAAGATAACTAAGTGTAAATAGATGACAGTGTCATCAAACCAAGGATACTGATAACACTGATAATGGTTGCATTTTTATAAATATTTGATTCTATCATTGCCCGGCCCCCAATTCCATGTCCTCACCTCCTCACCTAACTTCCTAGAATGTGACCTCCTAGAGGCCAGTAACAGCGTTTTCACACAAGCATGAGAAAGCTGGGGCACTTGGGATTGCGGCAGGAGTGCAAGAGGGCGCAAACCCAACAGAGGGAGCTGCAGAGAACAGAACAAAACCACATACACCTGTCCTTGGACCTGCGCTCCCACTGCCAGGAACCAGCCTTGGTGAGAAACTTTCCACAACACAAAAGTACATCCGTGCCGGATTATTCACCGAGCAACTACTTCTAGTCAGAAAACTGGAAATCGCCTAAGCACCCACACGTAGGGAGGAGACCGGGCGACTGAACCACGGCTTTCCACAGCAGCACAGGATGCCGCTGAGCACAGACAAAGGAAAGATCTCCAGCAGCTGCAGTGGCGTATTTCCAGCACATATTTCTCAGGGACAAAAGCAAATTAAAAGTATAGATGGAGATTACATCACCATCTGTGTAAGAAAGAAGTGTTTGTATAAACATGCTTATTTTTTGCAAGAAGAAATATTTAAGGTATAACCATACTCCAATAAAGTTGGTTATCTACAGGAGTACAGGAGTGCATGGGAAAGGGTGGACGGCAGAGGGAGTAAGACTTCTGAGCTTACCTGGTTTTTTTAAATAGCTTAACTTTTGTAACTGTGTTAATGCTTTACATATTCAAAAACAGAATGAAGTCAACAAAAGTTTGGAGTAAAAACAAACACTGACTAAACAGAAATAAGACTCTAACTATATTTCAGATAAGTAACATAAGCTCACAGAAGGAAAAAACTGGGGCCGACATTCCGGCACAGTGGGCCAGGTGCTGTTCCCAATGCCAGCATCCCACATGGGTACCAGCTCCAGTCCTGGCTGCTCCGCTTCCAGTCCAGCTCCCTGCTAATGCGCCTGGGAAAGCAGCAGAGGATGGCCCAAGTGCTTCAGCCCCTGTACCCACATGGGAGACCTGGAAGAAACTCCAGGATCCCCACTCCAGTCCCAGCCATTGTGGCCATTTAGGGAGTGACCCTGCAGATGGAAGATACTCGTTTTCTTTCTCTCTCTCATCTCTCTCTCAAATAAATAAATAAATCTTTTTTTAGAAGGGGAAAAAACTAAACTAAATAACTTACTATGGCCCTGTGACCACATAACTTCAATGTACAGACAGGAAGAATTACAAAGAACTCTTGAACTCCTTAGAAAGTTTGTTTTTCACAACAGTCAAAAATAGCAACTGTGAAACAATTTTGTATCTAACACTGAACAATGGCAATGACGCTGGCTCAGAAACTGAAAACACACACACACACACATGCACACACACACACACACACGCGTGCGCACACACACACGCAGTTCTATCTGTTGCAGGAACAGAGGGAAATGATGTCTCAGTGACAGTAAGCATCCCTAATGTGCAGATCTTGGTTTCTAAATACAATTCCCCCACTAGAAAGGACCAGGACTCCTCAGAGAAGTGGCCAATTCTGAGAAACTGGAGCAAAGAAAGTACAATATAAGCCCAGAAAATCTTGTTAGGTCAGAAAGTGAGGAGATACCCGGCAAATGACCGGGACAACTCAAGAGGCCACTGCAGCCTGTCCACATAGCCATGGCTTGTGTGCTCAAGTCCACAGATAATCTGAGCATCAAAATGATTAATGGATTAACTAATAAACTGTGTAAAATAAAAATCCATGAACGAATGCTGACACACACAAAAATCACTAAACAGAGAAGAAAGGAAATCTTTCTAACAGAATGCCAACCGGTAACTGACACATGTAAGAGAGAGCGGAGGAGAGAATCACCCAGTGTGCAGTTTCCATACTAATAACTGACCTGCACAAGTGCCGAAAACGGATGCCGGGACTGGCATCAGGCAAAAGTTGTTTTGGGAAGTGTCTGTTGATATAATCTCAAAGAATTTTCTAAATATATTATTTGTTTCATTTTTTTTTAATTTATTTTCATTTTATTTGAAAAGTAGACAGAGAGATCTTCTATCCGTTGGCTTACTCCCAAATGCCTGAACAGCCAGGACTGGGACAGGTTGAAGCTAGGAGCCAAGAATTCCATCCAGGTCTCCCACATGGGCAGCAGGGACCTCAGGACTTAAGCCATCACTGCCGCCTCCCAGGATGCACACTAATGGGAAGGCGACTCAAAAGCACAGCGGCCAGGACTGGACCCTGGCACTGCAATTAGGATGTGGGCATCCAAGTAGCAACCCAGCTGCTAAACCACACGCCTGCCCCCACTCACATCACTTGTTAATTACAAGGAGGAACATGGCAACTTTATAGTGATGAAGCCTGGTGATGCTCCCTAAACCAACAGAAGTTACATCATCAGCAACAGGACCAGCAGTCGTCATGTGCCCCTCTTCTGTGATGTGCTGAGAACACTATTTACTATCCTCACCAAAATCTGTATTTCCAAGTCTGATCATGAAGAAATGTCAGACAAGCACAAACTGATATTCTAGGAAACCTGTCCCATACTCTTCCAGAACACCAGTGTGGTGAAACACAGAGAAAGGAGATTAAGCAGACATGACAAATGTGATATATGATCCTGGATCAGAACTCAAACTGCTAGTTGGCAAAATATGTCTATTCTATATTATAGAAATAAAAATATTGCATCAATGTTAAAATTTCTACATGCAATCACTCTACTGTGGCTATATAATAGAATATCTGTTTTTAGGAGATATGTGCTGAGGGTCCTGATGCCTGCAATACACTCGCAAAAGAAATTTAAAATAGTGATGATAAAAAAAAATAAAATAAAATAGTGATGATAATATCTATAGACAGTGACAGGAGTGGGTCTTTAGCCTGGGGGTTAAGATGCCCATGTCTCTGCTGAATTGTCCAGGTCCTATTCCCAGCTCAGGATCCTGACTCCTGCTCCCCACCATTGCAAACTTGGGGAAACAGTGATGACAGCACATGTAATTGGGTTCCCACCACCCACAAGGGAGACCTGAATGGCATTCAATGCCCCAGCACCAATCTCCACAGGTATTTGGGGAGTGAACCGGCAGACCAGAGCTCTGTCTACCCGTGTCTATCTGCCTCTCAAATAAATAAAAATAAATATAAAGGGGCCAGCGCTGTGGTGTAGCAGGTTAAGCAGCCACCTGCACTGCCGGGATCCCATATGGGCACTGGTTCAAGTCCTGACTGCTCCACTTCTGATCCAGCTCTCTGCTATGCTCTGGGAAGGCAGTAAAAGATGGCCCAAGTCCTTGGGCCCCTGCACCCGTGTGGGAGACCCGGAAGAAGCTCCTGGCTTCAGATTGGCACAGCTCCGGCCTTTGTGGCCAACTGGGGAGTGAACCAGCGGATGGAAGACCTCTCTCTCTCTGCCTCTCCTTCTCTCTCTGTGTAACTCTGATTTTCAAATAAATAAATAAATAATAGAATTTGTAGTTCAAGTGAGTCATCCATTCAGTATGCAAACAATTCTAAAGCAGAGCCTCAACACAGTACAAGAGGTCTCTTGAGAAAGATAAACAAGAGAACTAAAAGGTAGTAAGAAACACAAAAGAACTAGAACAGCAGGAGGAAGGGCGAGCCTCTCCAGGGGGAACATGCAAGCAGAGACGTGAAGAATGGAGATGGCCCACCAGAAAGGAGCAGCAAAGGCCCGGCGCCGGGGCCGAGCCCAGACTCACCTTGCTGTATGTGGACGGCTGCTCCTCCAGGCTCCGACAGTGCAGCATGGCTCCCAGGGCCACTTGCTGGACCAACTGCTGAAACTTCAAATTTCTGGAAACAAAATCTGTCTCACAGTTTACCTGGGGGAACAAATTGATGCTGCTGACGAGCTGTTTGCTGACAGTTCCCCAAAGTGCCTTAGGGTTGCAGAGAAAACCAAGCTCCTGGTGGAACAAGCTGCAGATTCGACAGAAACACGGCAGCATTTTAAACTGGCAGCCCCGATCTTCTGTATATTAAGATAATCGAAAATGAATCTTGATGTGAATGGAAGGGGAGAGGGAGTAGGAAAGGGGAGGGTTGTGGGTGGGAGGGACGGTAGTGGGGGGTGGGGGAAGCCATTGTAATCCATAAGTCGTACTTTGGAAATTTATATTCATTAAATAAAAGTTAAAAAAAAAAAAAACTGGCAGCCCCTCCACTAGCTTCCGGGCAGAAGCCAAGGAAGGGACCCTGCCATGCCGTGCAGTGAGTCAGCAACAGCAGGCGGACCTGGAACGGCCGAAGCACTCAGCCCAAGTTCACCACGTGCCGCTGCCAACACGCCACCGTCACCACTTTCCCCAGCCTTCCCCAACTCCAAACCAACTCTGCCATCACTCTGTCTCCCCGCTTCGCTCACTCTAAGACAACCCCCGCTGGCTCCTCACCAACGATGGCCCCCAAACCTCCTCTAAAGCAGCCCCTCCCTCTCCATCACCTAATTAAAATGGCATCTTTAAAATCCTGCGCCAGGAAACCGTGACAAGGTAAGGCTGCACCAGCTCACACACAGGAGCAGCGTTCTGCGCTCTAGGTCACTTCCCAGCAGCACCCCCGCGCCTTCCCGTCCTTGCTGGGGTCTCAGAGTTTAACTCCCAGTACCCTCCACAGCTCTGAAACGGAGAAGGGCCCACCACAGGCCTCACGCCCAAGGAACAGCTGTCCTGGCCCCGGAGTTTCCCGAGACCCACCTCGACCAGCACAGCCGCGTTTCCCTCCTGCAGCAGCCCAATGAGGCCCTCCCTGGTCTTCCTCCCATGCAGCTTGGCCGCTTTGCTCCAGCCCTCCTTCTGCGCCTGCTTGTGCAGCCAGGTCTCCGCCTACCCAGCGAAAAGACAAGAGTATGTGTCAATATCACAGCACCTGCCACCGCGAGAGGCCCCCTGAGCCTTTCTGCTGCCCCTAAATTCCACAGTAAAGCCAAAGTCCTCCATCCGGTGTTGGCAGCCTACCATTAACTGTCGGATACCAGGCACTGTAGCCAGGGCTTCGTGTAGGGTTTTCCTTTTTTTTTTTTTTTTTTTTTAAAGATCTATTTATTTTACTTGAAAGTCAGAGTTACACAGAGAGAAAAGGAGAGGCAGAGAGAGAGATCTTCCATCCGCTGGTTCACTCCCCAGATGGCCGCAATGGCCGGAGCTGCGCCAATCCAAAACCAGGAGCCAGGAGCGTCTTCCAGGTCTCCCACGTGGATGCAGGGGCCCAAGGACCTGGGCCATCTTCTGCTTTTCCAGACCATAGCAGAGAGCGGGATCCGAAGTGGACTCGAACCGGCGCCCATATGGGATGCCGGCACTGCAGGTGGTGGCTTTACCTGCTACTCCACAGCGCCGGCCCCTCGTGTAGGTTTTTCTTCACAACCTCCTTATGGGGCAGAGGGTACTGTGTATTTTCGTTATGTACACAAGAATATACGACAAAATCCAAGGCTGGGGTTGTCAGGGAAGCCAGACTCCCACCCAGGGCGGCGCGGCTGAGCTCCGCTCCCCAGCGCGACCTCCCCAAGACTCAGGTGGAGCCCTAGAATCCCACCCTGCACCTTCTCCCCACCTGCTTGAGGTCCCCGCCGCAACTCTCCAGAGCTTTCTTGCAGTTTACAAAGGAGTAGCCCGTTTTCCGCCGCAGTTTCATGAGGAGCTCCTTGCTGGAGGCCGAGGAAGCCAGCCCGGGCCCCGTGTGAACCGCGTGCCATGGCTGGGCCGGCTGAAACACAAGGCACCCCGCCTGGAGGGGGTAAGAAGAAAGGGGTGAGAAACAGGGCGCAACGGGGAGCTGGGGCGATGGGGAGGGGGCTGCATCGACAACACGGGCAGGGGCGGGGGCGTGGGAGGCGCCCCCAAGGCGAAGAGGCAAAGCTGTCGGGGGAAGGGCGACAGGCAGGGCGCCACACGCCATCCCTCACCGGTCGGCTCCCCGTCCGCGCGACTAAGCACAGGCGTAGCGACCGCAGCAGCGACATCTCTCTGGCCCCCAGTCACTCCCGCCAGCCGGCGCGCAGGTGAGACGACACACTACGGCGTGGCGGAAGGGCCAAAACGCTCCACCGGTTCGCGCCTGTCGAGGACGGCGCCACCTGTTGGCCGGATGGGCGCACTCCCCTGCTTGACTCCCAGGAATCAACGCCAGCAAGGCAGATAACAGAAACCGACAAACGAAGTTGTCACAAATACAAGACACGCGGGTAACACTTGACTATTTCTTTATTGCCAATACATTTTCCTGTTTGTTGTCCATTTGTGATTCGTGACAAACTTTTGAGGTAGCTGGGTGGGTTCAGGAATTTGCTCAGGCTGGTGGTCTCCGAGATGGGGTGGGGTCCCTTCAACAAACCCAGTATGTATCCGCTAAAGGAACAAAATATCTGCTGGAAATCTGTGTGTCAGGAACCGGGCTGGCTTCAGGGGTGTGTTAGGCAGCTTTTGGGGACTATAACAAAATGCCAGAGATAATCGACTTAGGAAAGAAAAGGGGTTATTTAGCTCAGCCTGGGAGGCTGAAGTTTCCAATGGCACGATGCAGGCGCAGGCTCTGGCTGTGATGGAGGAAGTATCATATGGTAGGGCGGGGGGGGGGGGGCAAACTCAAGCTCTTACAACCACGCTCTCATGAGAAGGACCTCCCACGAGGCCCCCACCTCTAAACACCGTAACCAGATTAGGCTTGCACCCTCTGGGTACCAGTAACTTAGACTCTGGGGCTTAAAATCCTGCATGAGTTTAGGAGCAAATCATATCCAAACCACAGCAAGGGGGGATTCGAGATGAATGAGCCACAGCCCTACCCTCAGAGGTACGCTGGTGGCGAGAAAATCAGCCTCAGACAAACACGCGTCCAAGACAGGGTAAGGCCCCCGAAGATGCACAGTGACAGGGTCCCAGGGAGAAAGAGATCGCGTCAAGCAGCAGACTTGGCAAGCTGTTTTAAGCAAAGAGGCAAAGGAGGATGAAGATTTCCGAGTGGCAGCAATCGCCCACAAGGGGTCATCAGAAGATGAAAAGCAATGTGGGGTCACAAAGGGACTGGCTGAATAGCACCAAGCAAGAGCTTGCCCCTGCCTCAGCAGGCAGTGGAAGCTAGGCGGGGCTGATGCTGGGAGACAAGAGTTTACAGGATGGGTCGGAGGAGAGAGTGTCACAGAGGTGACTACGTGCCTAAGCGGTAAGCAGGGGGAGCCCCAGCCGAGGGGCCCCAGCGGGAAGAGGAAGGAGGGCAAAGCACAGCACGTCAGGGAGGGAAGACGGGCGGGGCTCGTAAACCTAAAGAGAGGTCGACACGCAGCACGAGCTTTCTTCTGCGCTGCGTGATGTTCTGGGATCCGGGCTCCACCTCTGGAAAGAATGAGGCAGGACTGTCCGGGGGACACCTCCGCTGTCTGATTCCAGCGTCAGGGATGGGAGGACTCGACCCAAGGAGATGCGGTGCTGCCACACTCGTCTCTCGGAGCAAGAACTGGGTGGCCTGGGGCTTCTTCCTTCTCAGCCCTTTGGCGAAGGCTCAGTCCTTTGGGCATGGAAGAAATCCTTAATGCTCATTTATTTTCCTTTTTTAAAAAGATCCCATAGATTTTAGCAAAAATAAAAAAAAAAAGTCCACTGTGTGTCAACAGACAGGAAGTGCCCTGTGACAGTCTTTGCAGTCACTGCTCTCACATCCCATGTCTTCCTTGCCCCTAAAAGTCCTGGCTACCCTCCCGTCGTCCTCCTCTGAGAACGGGAGCTGGGAGCCCGCCTTGTGCCGGAACCCCAGAGCTGCCAGGGCCCCCAGGGGTTGAGGGGGACAGAGAGGGGAGGAGCCTAGAAGCATCCATCCTTCTTGGTGCGTGTGTGTGTGGCTTTGGAGAGTCTGCATTTCCTCCACCAGGACAGGGGGCTGAGAGTCCCAGAAGGGGTGATGTCATGCAGACTTTGGCTTCCTGTGCCTGGCCCTGTAGATGTTGACGTTCTCATCCTCATCCCGCTGGGCCAGCTCCAGTTGGAAATGCTGGGGCAGGAGGTGCTGGAAGAAGCTCTCTGTGCCGTGCTCCTGTCTCATCTTGGCCGCCAGATAGATGGTGCCACGGGGCCCGCACAGGTGCTGGAGGGTCCCCAGCAGCAGAGGGAAGGTGGGCTCCAGGTACACGATATCAGCCCCCAGCACCAGGTCATAGTCTCCAGGGAAGACATGCTGGTCGATCCCCCAGGACAAGGCCCGGACCTGCGCCCGGCCTCCAGGTGGCACATTAGCCTGGACGTTGTCCTTAATCTGTTCTAGAGCCAGGGGCAGGTCAGTGATGGTAACATCCCCCCCTGGGAGAGAGGAAGGGGGAGAAAAGCAAGTCAGAGGGCTCGCGGCTCCAGCCTGGGAAGTCCGCAGGCCTCAGGGCCTACAGGACAACTCCATCACGGCCCGAAGTCCACACCTGGGCTTTCAGGGGCCCTAACCTCCACCTCACCCACTGCCCTGCTCGCTACTCCGCATTCTACAACATCAACATTCTAGTTGAGCTAATCTTCAACCCCTGGGCCCCACACGCAGCAACAGCTGTCAGCAGGAGCCCGGGCGGGACCAGGCTGGAGACGGGCTGTGCACCCAGCCCCACTGACACGGGGCTGCCGTCGGGGTCTGGAAAGCTTCCCAGAAGATGTGACCTCAGCTGAGCCCAAAAGGACAAGCAGGGGTTGGTCAGGTGGAGCTCTCCAAGCACAGAACAGCAAGGGCAAAGGCCTCCTGGCTATTCAAGGAAGGCTGGATCTGAGCCATACGTAGAAGGCACGGGGCAAGAGGACAGTGGCCATGACATGCTCGGGAGAGTCGGGTTTGATCCCAAGGAGGACAGGTTTGAAGAGTAGAAGGAGGGCTGAAGAGGATCGGATCAGCATTCCAGAAAGCCCCAGTCATGCAATGAACGTACAGACAGAACACCTCATCAGTTCTAGGGACAGTGGCGAACAGGAGGAACCCTCAGCCTTCCCTGAAGTGCAGTTCAGAGGTAGAGACACAGTAGGACGTGCAAAAGTCACCATTCGGTCGTGGTCATGGTCCCTAGGGCAGAAGAAGCGGGAGGTACAAAGAAGTCCTTCATGTTTATCACGTGCCCATACGCCAGGTATTGAGAGTTCAGCAGTGAACCAAGCAAAAGAGAATCCTCCTCCCTGTCCCCCATGGAGCTTTCAGCCTAGTGGCAAGAAACACAGGGGCCAGCGCTGTGGCGCAGTAGTTTAATCCTCTGCTTGCAGTGCCAGCATCCCATATGGGTGCCGGTTCAAGTCCCGGCTGCTCCTCTTCCTATCCAGCTCTCTGCTATGGCCTGGGAAAGCAACAGAGGACGGCCCAAGCACTTGGGCCCCTGCTCCTACGTGGAAGACCCAGAGGAAGTGCCTGGCTCCTAGCTTCAGATCGGCACAGCTCTGGCAATTGCGGCCATTTGGGGAGTGAACCAGCAGATGGAAGACCTTTCTCTGTGTCTCTCCCTCTCGCTGTCTATAACTCTACCTCTCAAATAAATAAATAAAATTAAAAAAAAAAAAAAAGAAAGAAAAGAAACAGACAACAGCAAAAAAAAAAAAAAAAAAGTCAAATAAAACACACCGTATGTCCAATGGTCACGAGCACCCAACAGGGAGAGGCGGGGGGAACTGCCCGGGGGAGAGGGCAGGGATCTATTTTTAAATTGGGGTTAGGGAAGGCCTCACTGAGCAGATTACATCTGGACAAACGCCCAAGAGTGGCAGTGCAGCAAACCACGTGGATGTCTCAGGTTAAGTCTACCAAAGGTCAGACCAGCAAAGGCAGAGGCACAGCCATGCCTGGCAGGTCTCAGGGACATCAGGAAGACCAGTGGCCACAGCGGAGGGAGGGACAGCAGAGATGTGGTCCCAGTCAGGCCTTGTTGGGAGAATGTTGGCTGTCAGACTCATACGGGAAGCCACGGGAAGATTCTCAAGGGAAGAATGGCGAATGCCGACTTATGTTTCAAAAAGAGCACCCCGCTGTGGCAATGGGGAAAGACCACAAAAGGGCAAGGTCAGAGCAAGGAGACCAGTGGGGAAGTGGCTGCCACAACCCAGGCGAGAGCTGATGGTCTGAACCAGGGCAGTAGCAATGGCTAAGAAGCAGTGGGATCCAGAATATAGCTCGAAAGTTAGGCAAAGGAGTCGGCAGCTAGCGAGGGAAGAGTTGTAGCGTCACAGGCATAAAGAGATCATCTGCAGCCAAGAGGGGATGGGACTGCTTTGGGAGTGAGTGCAGACTGTGGAGACTGGCCTCCTGCGTGAGCTGCTCCACTTCCGACCCAGCTCCCTGCTAATGCACGGGGGGAAGCAGCAGAAGATGGCCCCAGTACTTGGGCCCCTGGACCTACGTGGGAGACTCAGATGAAGCTCCTAGTTCCTGGCTTTAGCCTAGCTCAGCCCCAGTCATGTGGCCACTTGGGGAGTGAACCAGCAGATGGAAGATTCTACCTCTCTCTCTTTCTCTCAGTCTCTATACAATGCTGCCTTTCAAATATATAAAAAATAAAATATTTTTAAGGGGGGGCAACAAAAGAGAATAGAAAAAGAGTGCAGTGAGATGGGCAGAAACCAGAATTGCGGAACCCCAGAAATCAGAGGCTGAGTCTTGAGGAAGAAGGACTGAGATGTCAATGTCAATGTCAAATGTGAAGTCCTTGGCCAGCGCCACGGCTCAATAGGCTAATCCTCCGCCTGTGGCCCTGGCACACCGGGTTCTAGTCCCGGTCCGGGCGCCGGATGCTGTCCCGGTTGCCCCTCTTCCAGGCCAGCTCTCTGCTGTGGCCAGGGAGTACAGTGGAGGATGGCCCAAGTTCTTGGGACCTGCACCCCATGGGAGACCAGGAGAAGCACCTGGCTCCTGCCATCGGATCAGCACAGCGTGCCGGCCGCAGCAGCCATTGGAGGGTAAAGGAAGACCTTTCTCTCTGTCTCTCTCTCTCACTGTCCACTCTGCCTGTCCAAAAAAATAAAAAAGAAACAAAAAAAGATGCTATTTATTTAATTTATTTTGAAAGAAGGAGAGGTAGATTTTCCAGTCCTTGGTTCACTCCCCAAAAGGCTACAATTTCCTAGCCAAAGCCAGGAGCCTGGAACTCCATCTGGGTCTCCCAAAGGGGTGTCAGGGGCCCAAGTGCTTGGGCCATCTTCTGCTGCATTCCCCAGCTCGTTAGCAAGAAGCTGGGTCAGAAGTGGAGCAGCTGGGACTCGAACTGGCACTCATGGGGGATGCCAGCATCATAGGCAGCAGCTTGACCCACTATGCTATAACGCTGGCCCCAGTGATGCCAAGTTTTAAATGAGACCAGTCAACCCAGGTGTGTGTCTGGGGAGCTCCCAAGCTAGCTTGCAGGTGGGAGGTTAAGGAGGCCTTCTTTGGGAGTTTGAGCCGAGCAACAAAAGGTGCACGAGCACTAATCGGGTGGTAAAAAGGCTTCAGAAGACAGAATGTGCAGCCAAGGTCAGAGGAGGTGACCCAGGGGCACTGGAAGAGGCTGGAGAGGAAGGCAGGGCCTTGGAGGCTATGCTAAAGGCGTTGGTTCTATCATGAAAGTGGTTGGAAGATCTGGGGTGGAGGTGTGACCACAGCTGCATTTTGAAAAGACTCACTAAGCCGGTGCCGCGGCTCACTAGGCTAATCCTCTGCCTAGCGGCGCCGGCACACCGGGTTCTAATCCCGGTCGGGGCGCCGGATTCTGTCCCGGTTGCCCCTCTTCCAGGCCAGCCCTCTGCTGTGGCCAGGGAGTGCAGTGGAGGATGGCCCAGGTGCTTGGGCCCTGCACCCCATGGGAGACCAGGAAAAGCACCTGGCTCCTGGCTCCTGCCATCGGATCAGCGCGGTGCGCCGGCCACAGCGCGCCGACCGCGGCGGCCATTGGAGGGTGAACCAACGGCAAAGGAAGACCTTTCTCTCTGTCTCTCTCTCTCACTGTCCACTCTGCCTGTCAAAAAAAAAAAAAAAAGAAAAGAAAAGACTCACTCTAAGCGCTGCATGGGTGGAGTGGGCAGAGGCCTGCGGAGGGGCAGGCAGGCCAAACGGTGCAGGCCAGGTAATAGTAGTGGCCTGGACTGAGGGAGCTACCAGTGGCAACAGAAAAATCTGAGAAGATTCAAGAGGTTTTTAGCAGATAAAATAAATGGGACTCGAAAAATGTGAGCGTGAGCGAGCAAGCCACAGCAAAGGTGCTGTCTGCCTTCCCACTGGGTGGACAGCAGTTTGACTCACCAAGACGGGGAAGCCTGAAGTTTGGGGGCAGGGGAAGGTCACAAGGTCTACTCTGGATACCCCCGAGATCTCCTATGGGGAAGCTGGGCCAGGCTCTTGTGAAAACCTAGGCATGAAACGGCAGTGAGGAGCACCCAACCCCCAGGGCTGGCTGCCGGCTGGGGTGCGAAGGAGGAGAAGGGACCAGTCGACACGCAGCTATCTGACTTGGCAGCTGAACAAGGGGCAAAGGAGGAGAACCAGTCTGGGGAGTAGGTGTTGCCACCCACAGACATGCCTTTGCTCCCCTTTTAGCATAACCGCCTGCCTCTCACCCACCCGCCACCCAGGCAGAAGCTGCTGCTGACACTGCCTCCACGCTCCCTGGACCTGCTGCGCTCATGCCGTGCGCCTTCTGGCCGCCCAGAGCATGGTCTACACAGGTTCCAGGGGGTCGAGGCAGACGCAGCCAGGGTGGGCGTGCTCGCCACAATGTCAGCACAGCTCTGGGCTGGCCATTCCCCCCCCTCCTCCTTGGGGGAGAAGGCGTCTGATTCACTGTTGAATCCCCAATACCTGGCAGGATTTGTGGCACAGAGGAAAGCTGGTTGATGGGCTCAAAGGACAGATGTCTGCCTCTGGGAAGACTTCCCTCCTGTGATCAAGAACATGCCAATTTGCATTCCAAGGGAGATGCCCTTGGAAGAGTCTCTCAGTGAGTGCTTTGGGGACAGACGAAGTTTACGTTAAGAACATGTTTCCTTTGCAGGTTCAGCGTCTTGATCAAACTGAAGCAAACCTTTCCTTAATCTTCCCTTTCCCGAGTCTGCGGTATTCCTATCCCTTCTTCCTGGCCCTAACCTTCAGAAATGCACCTGCTAGTTTCTCCCAGCAGTAACAACCTCAAGAATCTACATTCTGTTAAAAAGGAAGCTGTAAAGCGCTCCTGAGGTTGAACAACACCATGCCCAGAGCAAAGGGTTCAAGGGCAGTCATTCTCCGTGAGCCCACAAAGAGCAAAAACGGAGAGGACTCCTTCCACGAAGCTTGACAGCCAATGCGCAGCCGTCTGGCACACTGAAACAGGAGCAAAGTCAACGTGTGTTCAGAGGGGCTGGGCCGGGCCCGGAGCTCTCCCTTGCCCAGGAACCCGAGACGTGGCAACTTCTGCGGCCGCCGCCCCGCCCCCACCGCGAAGGCAGCCCACGCACCCTGCAGCGCCGCCAAGATGCCCACGATGCCCGTCCCCGCGCCCAGTTCGATAACCTTCTTGCCTCGGAAATCAACATTTTGCTTCTCGAAATATTTGCACAGGCTCAGAGCCTACGAGAGAAAACAGAGAAAGAGAGGAGAGAGAGAGGCTGTCTCGGGGCTGGCGACCTCTGGCAGAGGCGGGGTCCGGGCTGGGGGCTCGCTCCTCACCGCGTCCCACACGCGCGCAGCTACCCCGAGGCGCGACCCGAAGTTCTGCGTGATGCTCAGCGCGTGCCCGCAGAAGCAGAAGCGGCTCCTCTCGGTGTAGGAGTCGGCGAAGAGGCCGAGCTCCCGAGGGAACACCGACTCGGGCTCCGACTCCGGGTCTGGACCGCGGGCGGCCATCGGGCAGGGAGCGCCCGAGTCCTCAGCGGGGCACCGGCGGGCGCAGTCCCCGCCGCGCGGTGGCACTGAGCCCCGCCTCCTCCTGCGGGACTTCCTGGAGGTGGATGGGGCGCTGCCCCCGCCCCGTGCCTCGCGCACCCCCGACGGGACCACGCGGGTCGCACCGGGCAGCCTGGCCAGAACCCAAGGACAGGGAGTGCGGGGTGCAAAGTGGAGGGCACTGTGGCAGGCGAGACCCCAGACCCCTCTCACCTGCGGAACGCACAGGTGCCTGCACGCAGCATGGCGGCCGGGCCGGGCCTTAGCAAACTACGGGAAAAGGCAGGACTCCAGGCTTGGCCCCGTCCGCCGTGTTAGAGGCCGGAGGTGCAGAGGCTCGCCTCCTGCCCCTGGCCCCCGACCGCCCTCCGCGCCCAGCCCAGAGCAGGGTGCACGTGTGTCTTTAAGGGGCGGGGCCTACTGGAAATAGGCATGGTGCGTCATCATCCTGCGCCTGGGACCTCCATCCCCACGTGGATTCGCCGGAGAAACCCGGGTCTGGGCGTCATGGCTGCTACCGAGAGTGGGAAGGCGGCCGGAGTGGAGGCCTTGCAGCCCCAAAAGCGCTACTATCGGCAGCGAGCTCACTCCAACCCCATGGCGGACCATACGCTGCGCTAGTGAGCGAACGGGGTCGGGGCCGGGGCGGGGATGCTGTACGCAGCCCAGGGGAGCCGTGGTGCTTGGACGAGTGGGACGGTGTGGGACAGGCCCGGGAGCATCGGCCGGCTGACGTCAGCTTAGGGGTGGGTTCGGGAGATTTGACAGCGGGCGGAGTTAGAGGACTGGGAGGGGGTGTGGCGCTCAGGCCCCAAACTGTGTAGCGGTGCCCCGCCTCTGGAGAGAAAGAAACTTAACTGAAACTAGGCGATGGAGGCAGAATGCCAGTTCTCCCTTTCAGTTTTGTTTGTTGGGTTTAATAACAAGACAAACATCTGTGCAATCCTGCCCACACCTCACTCCATCCTTTCCCCGAAAGAGCACATCAACAAAATAGGGTCCCAGTGCCTTAGGCAGCAAGTCTCTGGGAGAAGAGGAACTTGTGCCCCAGAAAAGAGAGCTGTCTGCCATGGCCACATCAGCCCGCCGAAGTGGAGATGGGCAGCTCAGCAATCATGGGCCTCGTGATTGGTGCTGATTCACGCTGGGGGTTGAGGGGCTTCCTTTGTGCCTGGAGGCCTTGGTGCCCATTGTTACAGAACTTCTGAGAAACCTCCTCCCCACCACCTCCTCCTGCTCCCCTCTCTCCGACCCCCCCCCCCACTGCTACTTATGCAATGATGTCACCAGCCTGCTCACTTCCTCATGTCTTCTTGCCAACAGCCCTGTGAAGCCAGAGGAGATGGACTGGTCTGAGCTCTACCCAGAGTTCTTCGCTCCACTCACTCAAAATCAAAGCCATGATGACCCAAAAGATGAGAAAGAAAAGAGCACTCGGGCCCAAGTGGAGTTTGCAGACATAGGCTGTGGCTATGGTGGCCTGTTAGGTAATCCGTGGGCCGAGCCAAGATCGAGGTTCTGCCACCTCAGCAGGTTTGGGGGTGGGGGGGACAGAGTTGGCCTTTTCCCTTCAGACCAGACACCGGTGACATCAGTGTAGAGCAGCCCCTCCCCCCCCTGCTCTGGGTCTGTGGCCTTTGCCCTGCCGAAGGGAGAGGGCTGCCTCAAAAGCCTCTACGAACGTGGGTTGTCCTGTCTGGCTGCAGTCCCTACATGACATGATGCATTTCACCTGCCAGGTGCCGGGTCACTGAGCTGGTCAGCACAAGCGTCAGAGATTCGACGCTGTGCCCAGTGATCCTGAACTGTCAGGGATTCCACAACAACCCTGCCCCCTCCCCCTCCCTCGCCAGAACTCAGCCCTCACTCTCGTGTTTTTGGGTTCCTCCTGCATCGTCCATGTCGTCCCAGCCATATGTGCCAAGGTACTTCTGTATTCTTAGGTCTTCCAGTATAGATAACAGCCTGGCAGAGAGGAAAAGCATGGTACTTGGTAGCAGAAAACCTTGCTTCAGGTTCCAGCTCTCCCCCATCTCAGCTCTATGATCTTGGGTTTTTCTGGCCCTTGGTTTTCTCATCTTTAGTTTATTGCAGGGTTAAATGAGATAGTGTATGAAAACTCTAAAGCAGCTGCATATGTACTGCACAGGTATTCCCAGCCTCCTATCCTAGTCCTGGTGGCAACTCGCATATCTCCCCCATCCACTTCCCCAGCATAGACCTATGCATAGAGCTGTCTCTGTCCCCTCTTGCCATTCCCGACTGTGGTACACCGAAGGCTTCCTTCTGTGGACCGACCGCTGTGCACTTCCTGCAAGTATGACTGATGATCCCGTTGCTGTTTCTGTGTCCAGTGGAGCTGTCTCCACTCTTCCCAGACACTCTGATGCTGGGTCTGGAGATCCGGGTGAAGGTCTCTGACTATGTACAAGATCGGATCCGGGCCTTGCGTGCAGCTCCCGGAGGAGGTTTCCAGAACATTGCCTGTCTCCGCAGCAATGCCATGAAGCACCTTCCGAACTTCTTCCACAAGGGCCAGGTACGGAGGGACCCTGGTGGGCCAGGCTGGTCGGCAGGTGGTGCCGGAGGCCAGGGTCTCACCATGCTGTTGGTGCATGTCCATCTCACAGCTGACAAAGATGTTCTTCCTCTTCCCTGACCCACATTTCAAACGCACAAAGCACAAGTGGCGAATCATCAGCCCCACACTGCTGGCAGAATATGCCTACGTGCTGAGAGTCGGGGTGAGTCGGCGGGGGGCCTTCCCTCGGAAGTCACTGGAGATGCATGTGTGAGCTGGCACTGCCGCACCCATCACCGCTGCTGGGTTGCCTGCAGCTGCCTGTCTAAGGCGTCGTCACCCACACACAGGGACTGGTGTATACCATAACTGACGTGCTGGAGCTTCACCACTGGATGTGTACCCATTTTGAGGGACACCCCTTGTTTGAGCGTGTGCCCCTGGAGGAGCTGGTAAGTAGGGTGCATAAGAGGAGTCGCAAATTGTGGGCCCTTTCCAGAGAGGTTCTGCACCCAGCTCAGTTCCCAGGAAGATGCGCTGAGAGACAAGGGGCCGGGGACAGTCTGAGAGGCAGGCAAGAACTTAACGGGGCCCCTCCTCTTCCCAGAGTGAAGACCCCATCGTGGGACATCTAGGCACATCAACCGAGGAGGGAAAGAAAGTTCTACGCAATGGAGGGAAGAATTTCCCAGCCATCTTCCGGAGAGTGCAGGACCCCATCCTCCAGGGACTGAACCCCGATCCCACCCTGCCTGCGCACTGACTGCCTTCCCTGCTGGCCCCCATCTTCCCAGGACTGGAAAGAAGATCAGGCCTCCTGGGCCTTCCCAGCTGAGCCTGAGAGAGACAGCAACCTCTCAGAGAAGTTGGGGGGCAGCCGAGGGCAGAGCCCTGCTGTTTACAACTGCCCCAACTCCTCTCGTCTGCTTGTCCCTCCACTGCCAGCAGAGAGCAAAAGGAGCTGACTGGAAAGGTCAAAGGACCTTGGACCAGAGGGGATGGGGGGGTCCTTGCTCTCTTTTAGCACTCCCCCTGTGGGATGCAGTGTTCCACTTTCTAAACTGCCTGCTAGGCGCAAATCCCCTGCCCACTAGTGTTTGCTTTGCAGTGCTGGGGATAGCGTGAGTGTGTGTTCACGTGCCCAGGCTGTTGTTTCTCAGGAGTGGGTATCACGTGCCTTCCCCAGCCCCCAGCCCGCCCCACCTAAGACTTGACCCCGGGGGAAATCTGTGCTCCCTCTGCTGCTGCTCTCCCTGGAGAGTCCCTGGGAGGGTAGGGGATGGAGACCCTCGCCTTGTCCATATTGGTCATCGATTCCAACACTTCAGAGCTGACCAACTGGCACAGAGCCTGGTAGGGGTGGGGAGGCAAGGAGCCAAGAGCTGAACTGGAGGATTCTGAGGCTGAAGGCAGAAAGGGGCTACCACCCAGGAAGCCCCCCAGAGGGAACTGCGGCCCCTGGGCACTCGGAGCGCTCAGCCCTGGCCCCACCCAGCAGCCCCCAGAAATCTCTGACTTTTCTAATGTGCAAAGAAGTTCCTTTATTTCTGCTCCTCAAGCCCCAGATTCCCGTGACTGGAAGGAGGGGTTTGTTGACCTTCAAGACACCCCTACCCCCCCACCAAGAATAAAATAAAGATGAAGGTGCCTGGAGCCATTTTAACCCATTAACCCACCTGCACTGTGCCCAGAATGCGTTAGGTCCAGAGGAGGGAGAAGTGAGGCTAATGCAGGAAAACCCTGCTCTCTGGCAGCCCAGTGAGCCAAGAAGTGGGGACAGGTACAGCTGTGTCTCAGCCCGGAGAAGCTACAGGATGAGTCAGGAGGGGCTGAGCCCACTGGGGAAGTGGTGAAAATGCCAGTGCGCTGGCTTGTGTGGCTTGGTCACCTACCTTCCTTTTAAGTTGCCTTTCCCAGCTGCTGGACTAGGGCACTAGCCCCAGGGGGAAACAGACGGTTCTCACATCCAATGAGGGTCATCACAAAGTGAGACCCAAGGAAGCCAGAGTCAGCACCAGCCCCGCCTCCTGTTGTTCCTGGTTGTTAATCCCCCAGCACCAACCGCTCAGAAGGGATTGGCTGAGGCGACTGGAGAGGGGGCGTCGTCACGGCCTCGCCCAAGGGTTAAATAGGGGTTCAGGCAAGCTTGCAAGATGCTCCTGGGACGTGCTTTCTCTCGTGGGCTTCCTGAATCAGACCATGACCCAAGCCCTCAAGCGGGCCACCAAAGTGCTCCATCGCGTCCGCTGGGCTCCGGAGCTGGGCGCCTCATTGGACATCCGAGGCCCCGACTCAGCACCTCGGAGTCTGGCGGACCTCCCAGGCCCCTCTATGCCCAGCTTCCTGGCTGAAGTTTTCTGCAAGGGGGGGCTGTCGAGGCTGCACGAGCTGCAGGTAGGAGAGACGCCGCCGCTGCGGGAACTAAGCGCCGCGGAAACTGGCTTTGCTAACGGCAGAAAAGGACAGGCTAGCGCAGAACGTGGAAGGGAAAGTCAGGGAGAACCAATGCCCCTGGGTTATGAAAAGAGCAAGTCGGGACCAGGGCGGGGACTCGACCGGCTCCGAGTCCATCCCGACAGCCGGCGAAGGAGTGCGCCCCGAAAGCGCCTTCTTGCCATGCAGCCTTGGAGACCCTGTGTAGGTCCAGGACAAGCGCGCGAGGCGGTCGGAGAGCGCAAAGCATAGGGATTAAGTCTACGCGCGCCCCTTTTCATCACCTAGGCTCGTCCCGGGGAGGCACCGTCCGGGTGGGGAGCCTTAAAGCAGCGTCTCCCACCTCGGCTCCGCCCCGGAACAGAGAGGTCCCGGGTGTCCGCTTTGCGCAAAGTTCTCCGTTTGCCCATCACTCTCAAACTTCCTAGGGATGGGAAATGGGACAACGAGAAGGAGTTTTGCAGCATCGGGGCGAACACACTGGCTGGGCGCACAGGAAGGGCTGGAGTTCCCCCTGCGCAGGCCTGGCCCGGGTCTCCAAGTGTCGGTGCGCGCGTCCCCCCAGGTCCAGGGCGCCGCGCGCTTCGGGTCGCTGTGGTTGGGCAGCTTCGGGACAGTGCGCACAGTGTACGTGGCCCACCCCGCGCTCGTCGAGCAGCTGCTGCGGCAGGAGGGACCTCGGCCTGAGCGCTGCAGTTTCTCGCCGTGGGCTGAGCACCGTCGCAGCCGCCAGCGGGCTTGCGGACTGCTTACCGCGTGAGTCCTCCTGGGTCCCCCAGGCCCAGGCGCCGTGCGGCTGCCCTCTCCCACTCTGCCGGCACTCGGGGTTTCCCACCCCAGCCTGCTTCACCCAAACCCAAGATGAGCCCGACCCTCGCCCCCTGGCTGATCTTTTGAGGCCGAAATCCCGGGTCGCGGGGAAACCGCCGCTTGGGCTCGGAATACCAGAATTTGGAGGAAAGGTTAAGATTCCGTGACTCAGATTACCTGGGAGGCCGGATATGGGCAAAGAAGGGGAGAGGCGCGGACAGCGGCAGGTTTCCGCACCCGGAGGGCGCAGCCGCCACCCCTACGGAACGGGCGCCTGCTGCACCGCAGGGCGCCCCGTCGAGCGGTCGGCACACAGCCCGCCTCCCTGACGCGCCCTCTCTCCGCATCCGCGTAGGGAGGGTGAAGAATGGCAGAGGCTCCGCAGCCTCCTGGCCCCGCTCCTCCTCCGGCCTCAGGCGGCCGCGGGCTACGCCGGAACCCTGGATAGCGTGGTTCGTGACCTTGTGCGGCGACTGAGGCGCCAGCGGGGACGTGGCACCGGGCCACCCGCCCTGGTTCGGGATGTGGCGGGGGAGTTTTACAAGTTTGGACTAGAAAGTGAGTCCCCACACGGAGCCAGGGGTGGGCGTCGGGGGCATGCAGCCCTGGTTGCCCAGGGCCCTGACAGCGCCCCCTCCCGGCCAGGCACAGCCGCGGTGCTGCTGGGCTCGCGCCTGGGCTGCCTGGAGGCTGAGGTGCCGCCCGACACGGAGACCTTCATCCGCGCGGTGGACTCCGTGTTCGTGTCCACGCTGCTGACCATGGCGATGCCCAAGTGGTTGCACCGCCTGGTGCCGGGACCCTGGGGCCGCCTCTGCCGGGACTGGGACCAGATGTTTGCATTTGGTAAGGCACAGAAACAAGGCGGGCGTGGGAGACGGGCGAGCGGCCGTCCAGTGGCAGCGCGTGCAGCATCTGCCCACGTGCCTTCTGCCCACGCAGCCCAGCAGCACGTGGAGCGGCGAGAGGCCGAGGTAGCCACGGGGACCCAGGGAAAGCCGGAGGACACGGCATCCGGGGCGCACCTCACTTACTTCCTGCTCCGGGAGAAGTTGTCTGCCCAGTCCATCCTGGGGAATGTGACAGAGCTACTACTGGCCGGTGTGGACACGGTGAGGTTCTCCGTCCATGCTGTGAGCCCTGTTTCCAGAGCTTTCACCTCCGCAGAGGGGCTAGGGGTGCTTTCTGGCTATAGGGGATCCACTGTGGCCAAGGAGATTCATTTGGCTCAGTCCCTCTACCTCCAGCCTGCCCTGTATCTGTCCTCTATTCTGGGGCCTCATACCCAATATGGCGGATGCTGTCCCCTGTCCCCTTAGGTGTCCAACACGCTTTCCTGGGCCCTGTATGAGCTGTCCCGGCATCCTGAAGTCCAGATGGCACTCCACTCTGAGATCACAGCCGCCCTGGGCCCTGGCTCCTGTGCCCACCTGCCAGCCGCCCTTCTGTCCCAGCTGCCCCTGCTGAAGGCTGTGGTCAGGGAAGTGCTAAGGTGAGGATCAGAGGTGGAGGAGGGAGGGAGGAGAGAAAGAACTGGAGAAGATTCTGGGGAAGAACTGGGGAAGCAGCCAGTGGGTGGATGCAGAGAGAACGAGAGAGAGCAGACAACAATGGTTCTCTCTCTCTCTGGCCAAAAAGGGGTTTGGAGGTTGGAGCTGATGAGGGGGTGTCTACAGCCCCAGCCTCACCTGCTGTCTCCCCATTTGCTTTGCAACTCAGACTGTACCCTGTGGTGCCTGGGAATTCCCGTGTCCCAGACAGAGATGTCCGTGTGGGTGACTACATCATCCCCAAAAGTGTAAGTGGCGCCCAGGACCCCCTTTGGGCTGAGCTATTCCTCACTACCCAGGACCCCATCCCATTCTCAGACATTCCCCATAGCCCTTCAGACCCTCCCCTTGGCCCAAATGTCCTCTCTAGGATATGATGCCGCGGTGGAAGAATCATTCCAAAAGTAGCCCCAGCAACCCTCCCCCCACCGACAGGGCCTCCCCTTGTCCCTGTCCTCAGATCCTCTTCTTCATGCCCCCAACCCCGTTCCTGGGCCCAAGCCAACAAGTCTGTGTTCTTCCCTCTCCAGACGCTGGTCACTCTGTGTCACTATGCCACTTCAAGGGACCCTGCCCAGTTCCCAGAGCCAAATTCTTTCCGTCCAGCTCGCTGGCTGGGGGAGGGTCCAGCCCCCCACCCATTCGCATCTCTTCCCTTTGGCTTTGGCAAGCGCAGCTGCATGGGAAGACGCCTAGCAGAGCTAGAGCTGCAGATGGCTTTGGCCCAGGTGAGTGATCGAGGCCTCATTGCTTCCCCCACTGTAGCCGTCTAAAGCTGTGGGCTCTTGTCCTCTGACAAGCACAGGAAAACTCCTGAGGCCTGGTGTACTGAATCCTGGGAAACAAGACAGTGCTGTTATCAGCCTGGGTTGGGAGCAAGGGTATCCAGACTATTTTTCCTCTTCCATAACTCCTACCCTCATTCACCAAGAAGCCCCAACTGGCCCCTGGTACCCATCCAACCTTGGCCATTCCAGCACTAATAGTGCCCTTTACCAACCCATCCTGCCATTACGGACCCCTCCCACAGTGACAGCTGCCTCCCGCTTTTCCAGATCTTGACACATTTTGAGGTGCTGCCTGAGCCAGGTTCTACACCAATCAGACCCATGACCCGGACTGTCCTGGTACCTGAGAGAAGCATCAACCTACAGTTTGTGGACAGATAGTCCTGTGGAAGGAAGCTGTGCTCATCACCCTTGCTCTCCCCATAGGGGTTTTATTAGGCGCAAAGCCAAGGAAGGGCTACACATCTTCCCCTTGAAGTCTCCCTGGCCAGATGGGACAACCTCAGCAAAGTGCGTGAGGCAGCCCTGACCAAGTGCAGCGTGCACTTGGCCTGACTCAGTAGGTCTGGAGAAAAACCACGGTCCTTCCTCTCTCTGCCTGCTTGGCCTTTCTCCTGCTCGTATGTGCATCCTTCAAGGGCCAGCTCAGACTTTAACAAATAACGCTGGGTGTCCTGGGGGAAGGATTCAACCACTGCCCTTTGTGCTTCCACCATGTTCGTGTTCGTTGCTGCTGCTGGCTAAGCGTTTATCATGGTACGAGCTAAGTAACTGTGCATCTGGTCTGTACCTGCTTGGTCCTCCTCCATTGCATGTGAGTTCTTTGAGAGGAAGGATGAGCCCTTATTTGACCTATATAGCCCCTGCCAGAGCCTATTCCTGACTAGGTGACACCATGCACCTTCTCAGATGGAAGCTAGACCATGTGGCAGAAGGATAAACAGCTTACCAGGCCCTGTCTCCCCGTTTCCTTCTTCATTTTTGCCCCTAGGAAAGTGAATTGGCCCCCCAGGCCTCTGCCTTTTTTTTTTAGATTGAAAACATTAAATACTTGTTATGTTTTGTAATAAAAAAAATCAAATGATCCATTCTTGACTTTTGACTGACTTCTCTGGCAAGACCAGTGGGGAGACCTTGACCCCCATTTCGATCCTGGTTTCCTAGGTCCTGGAAGTGATCCCCATAACAATGGGAGGTCTAAGAGTCTGCAAGAGTGGTGTTCAATACAAACCCAGACATGCTTCTGTCTGTAGTGGGAAGAGCCAAATTCAGGCTGGCGTCCTGTAGGAGAGTAAGGGGGTGGTGCTGAAAAGTGAGCGCAGGGGCTAAGCTGTAAAGTGGGTGGGGAGGCAGGGATTTGCAGACACGGCCAAAGGCAGCTGGGTCTTTGATAAGAAAATGGACTGCCAGAACCAAATGCCATCCCAGAGTGGCCACCCCTAGAAAAGTTGCTCTGTGATCATTTCTGTCACAGGAGAAGGAGTCAGAGGCACAGGACGGAAGCTGAGCGTGTGGGTGGCCAGAGCCCTGGGGCACTGGGGCAGACGGAGTCTGTTACCCTGAGTCAGCACTCTGCCCCCCCGCCCCGGGAGGCTGGGCACAGTTCTCCCCTTGTGATGTATACGGATTAACTCATCTTCCCTCCAAATAAATCTCTCAGCACACTCAGCGCAGCTCCCTGAGCATCCCAGGTCACCCCACGTCAGGACTTGCCTCTTCTCCCCCGCCCCTCCATCATGAGCTGGGTGTAGATGGAGATTTCACTTCACACTTCCTTCTCCATACCACCTCTGGCACCTGCCCTAGATAAGGCTCCCTGACTCCAGAAACTCGACTGGCCACTAGCCTTCCACAGATGGGCTGAATTACAAGGGCAGGACATGCCCGAGGCCTTGTGCAGAGACCAAAGTTTCTATGCATTTACTGCCCCACCTCTCAACCTCCTCTCTGCTGTACACTGTCCGTACCTACTCTCCTCGCACCAAGCTCCACTTCAATCCAAATGACCTGACTTGTGAGGGAAAACAAAGCCCAGCTCACAGTCAGACCCCATCTCCTGGAATCAGTAATGAGAATTCTACCCGCCTCACTCCCCACTAGAAATGCCCACTTGAGGGCAGCAGTGCCTATGACCCCTCTCCTGGAAAAAGATCTCTTTAAATTAAAAAAGGGAAAAGGAGAGGAGACCATACACCTTATTGGCCGCAACCCCCATCCCAAGACCTCCACAGAGGCTGAAACTGAAGGAGAAGGGAAAGTATGATCTCACTGGGGCTGATTTTAGGACCCAAAGTGAAAATGGAAATTGTATGTGTGTGTGTGTGTGTGTGTGTTGTGGGTATGTCTAAGCTTCCATGTGGAGTCACAGTCCAGGCTTGACTCAGACAGCCCCACGTATGTCATATGTAGCTGAGCCCTATCTGCTACTATAGGTGTTAGTAATCACTCTGATGTTCTCTCATCCGTTCATCACCAGTCCTTCCATGAATGGAAAATCCGTAAAGAATGGCTCTCTGTCTCTCCAGGTTGGGGGTGAAAGGGACATCTCTTGGGGAGGCAGTTTCTCACAGGGGAAATGGGGGGCTCAGTCTCCATCCCCTCACCACTCTGACGCCTCAGAAGTCAGGAGTGATATGCCTCGACATGTCAAGGTGGCTCAGACCCCACATCGAGCTTTCGTGCCTACACCTCCAAGCAAGTCTAGGTGCCAGCACCATGGACAGCAGCCAAGACCCCCTTTGGGAGAGGGGCAGGGGATGGAGACGCATTTTGCACATTGGAGAAGCATTTTCTCCAATACATCCCAAGGAAAAAGGCAGAGTAGGACCTTCCCTGAGAAGAACCAATAATAAGAAAGGTCTCTGGATGTGACTTTAACAATGTATGAAGGAATTATTTTAATTGCTGATGAATAGTTCACTTAAAAGATAGCATCAATCATATAATACACAGCCCGAAGGCCTCAAGAGAAATGGACCAGGCTTCAGCCTGACCCACATTTTAACCAGTCCCTCCCAAATCTTTTCTCTACAAACAACAGCTCTCCAGGCTGCTGCCTCCAAGCACAATACTTTCCACTTAATACCACCAGCTGGGCGCGTGGGGATCAGACCTGTGACCCTGAACTGCAGTAGACACAGCTGAAACTGGGGCTGGAGACTCATTATATTGGCAGAGTCCCTCCCATCTCACTCCACACCACTGTTCTGAGTGAGCACAGTACCTGAGAAGGACTAATAGGACCTAAACGGTCTCCAGGACAAGACGGTTGGCTCCAGCCTTCCCCCAGTCCCCAGGTTTAGGGAGTCCAAGAAGTTCTCATTCTCATGAACCACCACCACCTTCCACACGTGCAGTGTCTGCTTCCTCTCATATTTCCATGTCTATTACATCACTCAACACAAAATTCCAAGGTTCTGGACAACTCCAGATGAAAAACACACTTTGGAATTTGCTATACCAACTACTATTTGGAATAAATGGACCATTAACTAGTCTGGAAGTCTATTTGTGCCATTATTGATTTTCTTTGCAGTGGCGTCCAACCTGTCCCCCATTTATCCTCATTCCAACCCTACGAGGTAGACAGGAAAGCCATAGCTGTGAGATTTTTTTTTCTATGTCACCCAACTTGTGGGTAGCAGGTGCACCCCTTAGTTGCCTCCAAATGCTGCCACCTGCCACCTAGCAGCCAATGTGAATCATTCACCAGCAAGAGGGAGATGCACCTCCAACTCAGAACCCACTGCTGCACGTGGGGTTGGCAACCTGTGCAGAGAAACTTCCCCACGCCTCCCCACCCTCCTGCAGCGCCCGGATGAGAAAGCAGTCTCCACGTGCATATAAATGATTCTTTATGCCCTTCCCCCATGCAGTGGGGGTGGAGCAGGGGGAAGTCCCCCGCCCTCATGCAGGGAACGGGAGCTCAATGTATACTAGTCTTATTGCCAGATGCCCTGTGGCCATGGGGTGGGGAATTGGGGTCTACAGCCCCTTTCTTCTGGCATTGGTCCCCCTTCACCAAGTCTTGGTGGCGGAGCTGGGGGGCTGGAGGCCCCAGGAGCTGAGGTAAAGATGGTTCTCTCCAGGGAAGAAGAGCTGCCCTCCCTGCCTGGCTGCCCCGGTGGACATCTCAGGACGTGTGGGAGGAGCTGTCGGTGGGGGCTGGAACGTCATCCGGGTGTCTCTACCTGGCGGCCAGACAATGTCTCCAGCTCGAGGCTGCCCCCCGAGATCCTCAGTGGTGAGGGCAGTGTGCCCTAAACACCTTGTCCAGCTGGTACCTCCAGCAGCCAAGAGAGGCCAGCTCTGGCCTATGCGTTGACTCAAGATCTCTGCTCCTGGAGTCCACTTCAGACCGTGGTGACCCTCATGACAACCTCTCGGCCAGAATGGGAGCTGGAACGGGCATCGGGTGGCCGCAGCTGTCCAAGGAGGTGCAGGATTGTGTAACCGCAGCGCTGAGGCAAGAGCGTCCGCATGCGCTGGGCAGCTGGGGGGCGGCTGGTGGCCCCGGAGGGGGGGCCCGTCCGTGAGGTCCTGGGGCCTGGCTTCCCTGCCGTCCCGCCCCCTGCATCTCCGCCTATGTCCTTGGCCTTGTCATAGTTCAGGACCTTCCACTGCTGGTTCACTGCCTGCCAGCGCTTGAAGATGCGGTAGACAGAGGAGCCTTCATGGACGATGAGGCCTGAGCAAGAGGGACAGGACATCCAGGGTCAACCACACCCACACCTAGGCCAGAGGTACTTAAGCAAGCAACTGTGCAGAGAGAAGCAGTGCAGCAGCAAGGGGCCCTGGAGCAGCATGAAGTGGGGGGTGGGGGAAGGTCTCCAGGAACAGAAAACATGGCCGTGACATTGCAGGGATGGGCAGGGAGTGAAGAGGAAGATGAGGTGCAGGAGAGCGGGGGAGGCGCGCCCTCACCTATGCAGACGACATCCATGAAGCCGTACATGCCGTAGCAGATCTGGAAGAGCAGATCTTGCCGCTGCCACTTGGCTGAGGGGCTGAGCGAGGACCAGATGAGCCAGGAGATGCTGGCGACGAGGAAGAGCGAGCCCAGCACTATGGCAGCGATCTGGACCTTCTCGATGACCGTCAGGGAGATGGCCTGCCACTGCGTGGGAGAAAGGGCTCCGGGGAGTCACAGAAAGGAACAGAAGGCCAGGTGGCAAGTGGGTGGCCCTGGAGGGGCGGGTGCCCAGGAGCCCTGCCTACACCCTCCAGGCAGCACTGTGCGCTGATCAGACCTGGAATGAGGTCCTTGATTTAGCACCCCTGTCTGTCTGATCTCTAGAAAGGCCAGCGCTCTAAAGCTGAAACATCCAGGTTTGATTCCAAAATCTTAACTCCATCACTTACTGGCTGAGTGACTTCAGGCAAGCTTTCAAGTCTCTTGGTGTACCAGTGACCTCACTGGTGAAACGGGGTACAGTGGTATCCAGCGTGGTTAAGAGAGCACTTGGCGTGCCTGTATGTCATATCAGACGGCCTGCCGTGGAGTCCCAGCTCCACTTCCAATTCCAGCTTCCTGCTGATGCAAACCCTGGGAGACATCAGGGTCCCTGCAACCCACATGGGAGACCCAGACTGAGTCCCAGACTCATGGTTTTAAGCCAGCCCAGCACCAGCTGTGGTAGCAATTTGGGGAAGGAATCAGCAAATGAAAGATGGATCTCTCTCACTCTCTCTTTCAAATAAATAAAAATAATATATTTTTTAAAAATAATGGTTTCTAACTAATAGGTTATGAAGATTAAAGGAGTGAACACATGCCAAACTTGACACACGGGAAACACTGCACTCGCTTTCATCATCATCTTTCCCTATTTTTTTTTTTTTTTTTTTTGGCCAGGCAGAGTTAGACAGTGAGAGAGAGAGAGAGAGAGACAGAGAGAGAATTATAGACAGTGAGAGAGACAGACAGAAAAGTCTTCCTTCCGTTGGTTCACTTCCCTAACAGCCACTACGGCTGATCCGAAGCCAGGAGCCAGGTGCTTCCTCCTGGTCTCCCATGTGGATGCAGGGCCCAAACACTTGGGCCATCCTCCACTGCCTTCCCGGGACACAGCAGAGAGCTGGACT